CAGACTACATGACATGAATCGTGTGACTTGATGCGCTGGTCTGACCACGGAGTACGCCGTAGACGGATATCCTTTGTCTCATTCTCCCTCCGTTTTGGTCCTATTTCAATCTCCGTTGGTTGTTCCTGGAAAGACATTAAATAATACGGTTGATTACTTGTGACAACGCCTACCCACATACGAGCAAAACCCGTTGGCCGGCAGGATTCGACGCCATGACTTATTCACGGGAGTCCTCACCGGACAACGCCGAAAAATACTCGACAATCAGGAATGTACGGTTGAATAGCATGAAAGGAAAAAGGACAAAATGGTACTTCGTAGACAACAAAGAAAACCAGACCAAACCGGAAATTTGCGGTCGCAACCTCCGGCGGACTAGGATGGATGGCGCTGTGCCTCCAAACGCAGGTGGTGATATCAGGAAGGGCGTTGGGAAACCGCCGTCACTAGTCGTCTCCTGGACATGTCTACGACGGGCCGCCCCGACTCCCGCCGATCTTATGCATGAAGCGTCCAAAAAAAGTCTGGAGTAATATTTGTCGTAAGTTGTACTTCGCAATGGCGATGCCAAAGATGTATGGGACTTGTTACCAAGGGCATGTTACCGAGGGCAGGTCATGGTAATGGATGCAATTGACAACATTCAACCCAGCAAGTGAGTCACATTGGCTTCACGATAGGGAGGTTTGGGGCATACCACTTCGGAAATATTCCTTCCTCCCCTGTTACTGACGGCTTTGCGCATTATCCTTGCCACTTTGGTACCATACTCACCGTCCTCCATCGGACTTTGCCTCGTGTAATGACTATGTCCGAGTCATATTCCATGTCCTCCTGCGTCATGTCTCTCCTTTGTGAGGGAACCCTAGCAAAAGGACCACCACGCTTCTAATCTCGTACAACTCAGTCGAGAGACTCGAGTCCACCAAAGCAGATAGAACCGACTTCTCACCACTGACAGCCTCAGTTTCATCATAGAGTTGCTCTCGTATGCAGAGATCACCGAACCGACGCGCTTACCTCCCGTACGAAGCCAAGTTTCAATACAGTATTCCACAAAAACCAAAGTAAGAAAAAACCAACAAGGGTAATACACATACCCACCAGTAAGTTACGCCGTCTTTTTCTTTAATTTTTCATTTGCTGTTATTTAGGTTTCCATCTTAGCTTGCCACGTTTTTTCTATGATCCCAATCGGCGCGGTGCATTGCCGTCCGCATCTTTCCGTTGCCGCCAAAACCCACCCATACCACTCACGCAGGTGATGGTGGGCACCTGGTGGCACTGGGCACTGGGACGGGATGGGATTGGATTGGATCAACAACTCTCTGACCTTGCCCGGGCTCTAGGTTGGCTCCGGAATCTCCAGAGTTCAGCTCCACCGTGCCCAAAAACGAGGTCGCCTGGATTAGTTACCGGATTTCGGACGTCAGTACCACCGCACGGTTCCATGGCCGTTGCCCGAACCTAGGCTAGTAGGCCAGATTGACATCCCACCACGACTCGAATTGGAGTTTGGGTTTATCCCGTCGTTTTCGGTGTCTTGAACTTGTGGCTTACTCGCCTAAGCTCGCGTGTTGTGTCTCTACTTTGTTCACTACCTGTCAAAGGATCCGGCTGCGAGCATAGACCCGACGCTACCCAAGAAGGGTGTGACAACAGGGAATATGGATCATCCATGCCCAACCCCAAAAAGGGAGAGGTGAAAAGGGAAAAAAGACAAGAGGGAAAATAAAAATAAAACTGGGTACAGCCTGTGATCATCGATCAGCCCGCATGCATTTTCAATCACGTGATGTCATTCCCACCTATGAGGAGGGAGAACCTGCGAGCTATCTCTACTTTATCTGCCGCCGTGGCTGACTTGTACGCCCTGGGGGGGAACCACTTGTACAAGGGTTAATGGTACACCAGTCGATGGTGAGGCTGGGATGAGGTTTGAGTCTGTTCGCGGCCCAGGGGAAAGAGCGCCGCCAACTTTCATGGCTTGATGGCTAGGCTTGTCTGTGTGCTCTCGGGTACATATGTGTGTGCGCGCACACCGAGACCAGACGAGTAAAGGTACCTTGGTACCTGGAGTGAGTTGCCCTGCGATTGTCCACCACCAGTGACGTGGCACAGTAGAAATAAGCGATGCTGGAAAGCGCCTGCCTGTCTAGCTTGTGCAGCGGTCACGCATTCGCATCGAGGCAAAGAATCAAATCAAATCAACAATCACACCCCGGGGTTTCGGGTGTCTGGGGCTTTCGGGTTTCTGATGTCGGAATCAGTCACCCTCCAGCTGGGCTTGTCCTTTGATCTCGTCTCTCGAGTCCTACCCTCAAACGGGTATCCGGTGTTGTGAATCAACGTTGATTCGACTGTGATACGTTGTACGAGGGTTCTATTGTTGTACATTGCACCTGTTCGTGTCATGCGACACGGGAGCATGACGGGCTAGGAGTTGGGTGAGAAGTAGAAAGCATTGAGGCTATAATGGATGTCTAGGTTCAGCAAGGGGGTAGAGAGTGAAACTTGTTGGTTCGACCGCTGGATAACCGCTGTCACGTCACCTGCCTATGATGATCTTTACGGACTACATGCAAAGAAACCCGATTCGAAGTAAACAATCAAAAATCAGAATCATCCGGGTGGACCCAAGTACCAAAAGTCGGTCGACCGACAGGGATGTATGTATAGCAGTACCTCAGCCATTCAACTCTCCTCAGCGCAACCAGTAGCGATCCGGTCAATTCTGGTTATAAACCTTCCATCATCATCATCATCAACTGTAGGTAACGAATCAACCGCCCCCAATCCTCACCGTGAGTCCAGAACGCAGCCCAATAAGTCGATCATGGGCCTCATCCATCCTTTCCCAAGCATGGAAGATTGGGCTGAGCCCCCTTGTCGTCTTGTCCCGTCCCGTCCACATCCACCTCCACCTCCACGTCCATGGGGCCGGCTCACTAGGTAAATTTCTTCCCACATTCACCTGCCTCCAGGCTCCAACCGATCGAGAACGGACCCCAAACCTGCGCGATTAACTTTGGTCGATCAAGACTTTGGCCCGTCATGACTATCAAACCCATGCCGCTGACCTGGTAGATTTGTCCGCATCCGGTAATATGTCGTCGTGGACATGTCCGATCTATCACATTTTTCTATCTTATACTTTCGTTTCCTATATTTGCATTTCCCCGCATCTTGTCCGCAGTCGGTGCGCTGTACGAAGTACTGCTTGATACATGCATGACTCCTCGTCATACAGTCTGTCTGCGGAGAAGTTTATCAGAGCTTGCCTGAGTTGAGGGTTTAAGCAGGTTAGCTGGGCTGGGGCGTTGGAAGGTAGATAGACCGGTATTAGAAACGAAGAATTATGAAAAGAGAAGGCAATGCCCGCTATCCATCCATATCATGAAGATTACAAAACATGTACAAGAAAAGCTCATTATATCACGCTCCAGCTTCTATCATTCATAGTGTAGATAGGTATAGGTATTATAGTATATACTAATGGCATAAAACAGGACCTTGTGGTACACGAGTATTGCAACTTCTATCCATCTGTATACCCGAGCCCGATCCAAGCGGAGCTGGAATTGATGAATACATATTGAGCTCTCTATATCCATCCCGTCTCTTTTCAAGATTGATCATACTTGGATATTGCTATGGCACTCCCGATCATTTGCTCAATTACTTTAAACGTGAGGCAATGAGCATGGGGAGTCCTGTCTTGTTTCCATGGATTGGGTAACTACTAACTACCGTAGCTACATAGGTAAACGGATACACCTGGAGTAAAAAAAGAGGTACCCTCGGTTACACTCATGGCTTTGTTTGTTCACTGATCAAGAAAATAACCCCTTGTAATGCATGGATATGAGACAGTCTGACAAGTACTCAGTACTTTAGTTCTAGCAGTGTATGTATTTATGTCACATTGATATTCAATTTTTCAATACAAGTGACTCTACTGCTGAATAGCTGTCGTACTAACTTTGAATATATTGCATGTCATATATTGGACATCGTGAAAAACAAAGCCTGGAAATACATTTGCATGTGTAGTGTACATGTGAAGGTTTGCCCGTGGGGAAGATCTAACCGAGTGAGTTTCCTGGGAGAGACAGTTGAAGTAAATCACATTGTTCAGTACAATGCTTGAAACTTCTGCATTGAATCCAACAAGATAGACCATGGCTACAATGGATGAAAGAAGGAACATTTACAAAAGAGACAGGCAGACAGAAAATGGCAAGAAACATACCCACCCTCCACCCCAATTGACAGAAACCAGACCAAACCAAGACGAGGGGAACCAGAATCACCCTCGAAGCCTAACAAAGCAGTCACCGAGTCATACATACCCGAGTTATACCTACCTACCTACCTGGGTAGGCACCTAGGTACCTCTCAAATAGAAAACTTTCACAGGATCAGACATCAAACCCGAGTCAAGCCAAGTCAGGTCAAGTCACGATACATAACTATAGCGTACATCATTGCCGAATTACAAACTTTCATGGCTTGCATTCCTGGTGTGGGCTTCTAGCCCAAGACGGATGGCTGTGCAGGGAAATAATGCAATGCAATTGCTGGCACAAGGGACCATCCTACTTCGCTTCTCCTCTTCTTTACCTCCCCCACTCTCTCACTCTCACTTAGTCCGTCTGACTCTCTGGTCACCATGCATTCATTCTCCGCCGGTCCTCCCCCGCCCCGTTCTTTACCCATTGGGACTGGGGATAGATCACAGTGCCGTATACGCGCAGCACAAAAGATACAGCGGACCGGACGAAAATAGCGAGATCAACCATCCACGTATTAGTTCGATGACAGGATAGTCCAGCAAAGAGGAGAAGACGAGAGCAAAGGAGGGGAAACAACGACAACGCGGGTGGTCTCGTCTTGTCTCGTCCCCACTTTCATGTCTTACAGTTACAGGTGTCCATCCATCCAGTCATCAACGGCAGCAAATAACCAATTCGCATATACGGGTTTCCCTCGTAAGCTCACTTTTCGGGCACCGATGCAGAGCCCATGACTGGCTCCTGGGCAAAAAAAAAAAAACGACCAGGTAAGTAGTGGTACTAGGTACTGTAGTTGGAGAGAGGGTCAGCCGAACCATGGACGGATTTGCACGCGTGCAGATAGGTGTGGATATCGCTTCGCTGATGGACCATGGGTCTTCGCGCCGTGGAGCTAACGGCACGTCGGACGGGCCGGGTGCGGCGCGCGGATTGCCAGCCCATAACATGCATGCAGTGAGTGAATGAGTCTGAGGATTGATTGATTGATTGATGAAAGGGGCCTTGTCCCCATGCCCCCTCATCTCTTGTGTCGATTACATTGACACGAAGACGCCCGTTATTGGGGGATTGGAACTGGCGGTAAAGAAAACCGGGGGCTTCAGTGGATGGAGTGAATATCCTAGTGCTGCATGGGGGGGTTAAGTGGGAGGAGAAATGGCCTCGGTAGCAGGGTTACAGAAATACTCATTTGGGAGAGAAAAATAAAAAAATACAGAGAGCAAAACAAGCGAGTGCACATCCTATGGACCATCATGAGTACGAGAAGTGAGCCCATTATGGTGTACAGACGTGATCCATCGTGGTGTCTCTAGCGTTCCCCTCCTTGGTGGCTGGATTTGATGTTGTTACAATTCACACTTCTGTTGAAACGCGAAGACGACATGAATTTCATTGCAAAGTATAAAACCTCCCAGAAAGAGACATGAGATAGAAAGTATAAACACCACCATGATGTTTAAACTATGACGAGGAACAAAACAAAATAAACCTACGCTGTCAAAGACACAACATTGGCATTGTTGTCGACACGGCTCAATACGATCGAGTAATAGTATCCCTGGCTCTAACCGTCAGACTCCGACTCCGAGCTGATATCTGGGCCCACTGTGTCAGGCATGACGACGCTGTTGAGATACGTGACCTGTTTCCATCATGGAACCCCCCGTTAGCCAGGAAAAAAAGAAAAAGAAAAAGACAATAAAATCAAAAAGAAAATAAATAATCGTTTTTTTTTTGTCCCCGACACCCTTGCCACCCCTTTCGAGGTGAGCGACATCGGTGGGTATCCTGGCACCCAAAGGCACACCGCTGAATTGGATCACAGAGGATGAGGATGGGGGGCTCAAACAGGGATGGGACCAGAGTTTGTCACTGATACGGCGGGGACTAAGATCCAATAGACGCAGACGCGGACAAGCGGAGAAGGGAACCAGGCAACGGCTGGGCACCAAGAGGGGAGGGGATTGTTGGCTTACAAAGGGCTCCATTATACCAATGAGCGCTGCAATCCTATCCTGTGCTCCGGTACTCTGTAAATCTTCATCGGATAGGGGCTTCCCGATGGTGAAACCGCGCAGACGGAGCAGTTGGATGTTCTCATTATCCAAATCATAACCCTGGAGAGGAAAGGAGAGAGACATTGTTAGTGCTGTCATTGGACGAAAAGCCAGGACCCGCCGGGAAAGACAGAGGCTGAACCATGGAAACAAATGCGACGGTGTCGAAAATTCTTCGTGACCAACGCCGACAGTGGGACAGTATAGGGAGACTAGTGGTAATCCCGCTCTCGACCCAAAAGTAGAAGAGTTTTGGATCAGATGGGGAAGTCCCAGGGGGTGGCCAAACAATATGCCGGAACGCAGTCCTTAGTATTATTAGGCCCTGGAGCGAGGGGGAGGGAATCTTCTTCAGCAACCGGGTGGAAATGGGCGGGAGTGGTGGTTGGGACCATAGGCACCAACTGGCAAGGAAAGGCGGGAAAAAAAGGGTGTGGCCCAGACACGGGTAAGCTCGAGTCGGTGCTATCCGTGCGCGGCTGCTGCGCTTGTCCCATCAACAACAGTGCGGCGATCAACTCTGCTTTCCCACCCCATGACGCTGTGCATGTCCTCTTCGTGATGCTCGTGAAGACCTTAGACTTTCGAAGTCTAGCGAAAATGGGGTTCGGCATAAATTGATGCCTTTGGGGAGAAAGGGAGGTGCAAACGCCGAGGAGGTTGACTTCGCAGACACAAGAGCCTCAATGGAGCCGATTCACCCAAAAAAGTGGACCAGACAGTCTCTGGCACTATCTTCTGGCATATTTTGGCCAATTCGGCCATGAATCTGGAACGTTGCTCTCCTGGATTGATGAAACCCCTGGCAGAACCCGCCTGGGTGCAGTGCTAATGGACAGGACGTGTCGCCCAGCCGTTGAAACGCGACCGAAAGCCCGTCAGGGTACCCCATCGATCCACAAGGGTAACCTCGCAGTGAAGAAAATCGTTCTGAAATAGATGGTTGCAGAGAATTGAGGTGATGGCATGGACGGATGGCGATGACGTTGGGGGAGGTACAAGAAACCAACACTAGACGAAAGGAAATACTCAACGCACCTTGGGTTTGGTCTTGAGCGCGCCTTCCTTGTTCTGGTCACAAAAAGCGTCCACCACTTGGTCCTCATTATCAGGGACCCCCTTGAAGAATTCCCGTCGAAGACCTTCCTGCCTGAGGATAGACTTTAGGCGGTGCGAATTTGCGTTGACATCATCTCGCAGGAGTGCAAGCTTATCAGCTTCGGGATGCCAGAGTCCAGATCCTAAGCCCGACGTGGATTAGAAATGAGGATCAGTTGTTGGGATAAATGTGGATTGTTTCCTCAGCCAGTGCCCACGTCAAATGGCTGGGCCGTCCCAGTCGGACCGACCTGGGAGCAAGAGGGAGCACAGGATGATAGGTTCTGTCCTCGATCCTATTTGTCCGCTCGGAAATGGTGGTCACCAACACCAAACAGGGAGGATAGGCAGGTGGGTGCAGGGATGGCTGCAGTTGCGAAAAATGATGAGGACGGGTCTACTGGAACTCACCGACAAAACAGGACCCAGGCTGGCAGTGGACGTAATAAGCAGCATAAGGGCCCTTTTTCCCTGTACGCGACCTGATTGCGCGCTTAGCTAACTTGCATTTTCTGTGTCTAGTGTCGATTTCTACTCACCAGGCTGCTGAAAAGTGTGTCTATGCGCAATCGAAGATCAGCGAGCTAGTTTGATAAACCCCCGCAGTCCCCGGTCCCGGACCATTACAATGTGGAAAAGAGAGAAGGGGCGTCTCGTTGTGGTACATACCTTGTACGGGGTGGGATTTTTGCTGAATCTTATGTCGCGGTGTATGCGAAACACCTGTTGTGGGCCTCGTGCGTTAATGCAGGGGTACGGTACCCTGGCCCTACAGGAGGATGGAACTCACGAGATCTTTGGCAGGGAGCGGCGGGATTGTGCCGTCCACTTCCTCGATCTTGTCAGTGAAACTTAAAACAAAGTCCTCCCAATCTTTCTTGGCGGTTCGGAAATCCGGGTCGTGTGCTACCAGCCAGACCTCCAAGTTAGCCATGGAGTGTCATCCAGGGAGCCTGCTATTTTTGCGGCACCTACCCTTGAGCCAGGCCCTTTCGTTGTTTTTGGCTAGGTCCTGCAGAAACCGAAACGTGTTGGGGTGCAAGGTCGTCTCCTGGTAGGGGATAGACCCTGGAGATCGCGCTCGTGGTTTCTGGATGAAGACCTCGTTCCCAGGTCCTAGGCCTGTGGTGACGCCCTCTCTCCACAACTCCTTGTCGCTGACAGTATCTTTTCTATCAGCGACTCTACCTCTTCCTTGCGATTTTCTCTGCGATCCCCCTTGCGATCCCCGCTTGACTCTTTTGGATGCCGGCCTTGTGGCTGCCTCGTCATCTGTCGACTCCTGTTCTGACGCCTCGTCGGAAGGTGTGGAGAACTCGGGTTCCTCAGTGGCAGAAAGCGAACCATCCGAGTCTGATGATTTGGACGAGATGTCCGTCTTGCTCTGGAAATACCTGCTTTTCTTGGTGGTGGACCGGACAGGCTCGTCATCCGGGGAGTCGGGGTCAGCCTGCGCCTTGGGCCTGGACTGAGAAGCAGCGGCGAGTCTGCCAGACGCGCGCCTTTTTGGGGTCGGCAGTGGTGCCGCCGACGCGGGAACGGGCCGAGACGATCGACGAGGCATGGGTTAGCAGAATAAATATTAAATATTTCGATATTTCCCGGCGTAATTCGAAAAGGAAGCAGTGTCTGTCATATAACCAGACAGATTTGTTTGATAGAATAGAAAAAGAGACGGGGAAATAAACGATCGTTTTTTTCTGTCTCTTGTTTTTTTTTTCATGAATTGAAAATAAAACCGATGGGCGTGCGGTCTTTGGCGATGACGACAAGGTTCTTTACTAGTAGTCGGTCGTCCCCTCAAAATGTACTGTCGGGGGCCTGTGCAAGCAAAGACGGCCCCCCCTTTAGTTACCCGGAGCTACGGGAGTTCGTGTATGTATTATTGATTCGACGGTGTGTATTGATACTTTTTTTGCTGCTTTTCTTTCTTTATATTTCATGTATTTAATGCATTGCTCTAAATATGACATGTTACATATCATTATTACTATTTTTTGGTATCAACTACCACTACATAATGATTATTATCATCATTATTCCGACTAAAATGACTATTGTTGGAAAAGTGAACTGGCGCTGTTTCCGCAGAGACTAAAGCTGTTAGTGTTGTTGCGGATTCTTTTTTTCTTTTTCTTGTTCTTTTCATGGATTCCTCGTTTTGTTTCCTGTATTGGTTTTTTCCAGTGGTATTTCGTAATTAATACCCGAGGCGGTATTTTTGAATTACAGTATAACCAGAGAAACAGAACAGAACAGAGAACAGAATTGAGAAAATCATAAGGTAGTAACAGACAGGGACAGAAATCATAGGTAAGAAGAGTATCCTAACCTACGGAAGCCTCAATTCTAACTTTTGTCAGTTTGCTGGTTCGCTCTATCAGTGTCTCACCCAAGAACAAAAGAGCTTGTTCGATTTGAATTTTGAATCTGTGGTTCACTCGTATCCGGCCCAATAACCTGGACACATTCTCACTGCGCCTCTTTGCGCCTCTCTCTGGGCACAAAACGACCCAGATCCAAACCAAAAAAGGACAAAAGTCATATCCAAATACGACTGACTAAATAGTAGACGAAAATTCTAAAGAAAGAAAGACCGAAAGAAGGAAATCAAGCAAGAAAATCAAGCAAGAACCAAAACCATGAGCGGGGTCCAACCAGCCAACGCCGACGCCCCCGTCCCCTCGATCTTCGAATCCCGCAAACGCAAGATCCTAGCGGACCTCTCCGTCCCAGACGCAGAGTACACGGATCTGTCGCCTAAGGGGTCCGTGGATGTTGCGATTCGCGATCTCATCCGTGAGATTAATGACGTCCCGGGTCTGGTCACGACGAGTAGTTGCGCTGGGCGGATTAGCGTTTTCCTTGAGGGGAGGAAGAAGGTGAAGCAGACGCAACAGCAACAGAAACAGCTCCAGACGCAAGAGGAGGGAGAGGGAGGAGGACAGGCGCGTCAGTTTGTCCCGTCTGGGGGGAAGGGTGCGGGGAGGTGGCTGTTTGTTTCTCATGATCCTTTGTTGGAGGGTGAGGAGTCCGAGGGACGGTGGCGGGGAGAGGCTGGTTCCTTTTCTTCGTTGCATGAGTTGTTTGGGATGGTGAAGGGGGATGGTCGACCTCCCAAGGTTGGTGGAGATGGGAGTGGAAAAGGTGGGAGAGCTCCACGGCTGGTGCGCTTCCATTATGATCCTATGGTATTTCTTCTTGTTCTCTTTATAAAACCTCAATTGAGCCAAACTAACCATCCAAACAGATCCTTCACATCATGACAGCTACGCTCAATCACGCCAACCCCGTCTTATCGGCTGCTTCAAGCGCCGGATTCCGCGAAAGCGGACTGCAGAGTCTACGCTGTCTTGAGGGCGAGGACGGTCCTAGTCCTATTGTCGCTGTTCGCTCCGCCGGCCTGTCTCTCGAGTCGGTGATTGGGTACTGCGAGGACGACGGTGATGATGGTGATGACGACAGTCAACCTGTTGTGCGAAGCTTGGTCACAGAAGAGTACCTTGAGATGTTGATCGCTATATCGAATGAGCGATTCGCTGTCAACGGTGAGCGGAAAGAGCGATTTCGGGCGTCGCTGTCGAAAGCCTACTCCGTGTCGGGTTCTTGCGGTGCCAAGTCGAAGGGGAAGGCGAAGCCTCCTGGGTGGGAAGATCCTGAGGCCCGGAGGAAGAGGATGAGGGAGGAGGGGTTGATGAGGAAGAAGAAGTTACTTGAGAGTCAGGGTGAAGCTGAACGAACGTCTCGAGATGTTGAGGACGATTCGATTGACAGCTGACGATGTTTAGGATAATAAATGAAAAGTCGTTTGATTGTATTCATATGGGTCTGGTCTCAACGATAAAAACCAACGAAGCTCAATAAACAAATTGGGGAGGGTAAACGAAAGCAGGATCGAATGGTCAGATCCATTGTCCTCTCCTGTCTTTCTTGGGCTGCTCAACGAAAAACACTGTTCAACGAAAAGGACATAGGGGCATGATACCACATCAGATAAACCTAGCTTTTTGCAAGCCGAATTCCAGTCAACGTTCAAGCCAAATTTCACAAACCATGGTGCTTATCATTCCTTCACGAGAGACCTGAAAATACAGTAGTCCAGTTGTACCAAGACCTGAAAAGCAACGGGCATATGGCATAGGGTGGTGATAAGGGTGGGAATAGAAAAAAAAAAAAACTGGGAATGGAAAAAAATGGGATGGGCATAATACCCGAAACGGGTATGAACAACTAGAGCAACAATTGCAAGACCAAACGAAATCAAAAGAAAGCCAAGCCCAAAATCAATCAGTATTCGTCATTCAAAGGGGTCTCGGACGACAGGATACAAGCAGGAGTGGACCGAGTAATGCGATGACCAGGAGGTCCCCCCGTAATGCTGGTAGCAGGTAGAAGCAGCTTATGATTCCAGGTTGTGTCCGTAGCATGGCGAACATGGGAACTACCAACAGCCAGCATGTCGGCCCCGCGGCGCGAAGCCATAGCAGACGATTCGGGATTCGAGGCTGGGAAAAACTGCATGTGGGCGCTGACGCCTCTGCCCTGGGTGTTACTTCTCGCAGACGGGGGTCCAATGGCGAGATTCTGGAAACGCGGGACGGGCGTTTTGTCTCGGTCGTTCAACAAGCCGCTCACTATGAGGTTGCAAAGGAGGTCCATCTCGTGCCTCGATGCGTCTTCCCATGTGGTCTCCTTGGCTACGGCTTCGGGCCACTCGAACCACACGCGTCCGTAGGGAGAATCGAGGTGGTAGTTATGCATGGGGAATGTATTGACCAGACCCATGATTTCGAGGCCGTCTGTGGTGCCCTGGGATATCAATTTGGCGTAGTACTAACCATTAAAATGACGTGTCAGAAATTTGGACTGAATGGAACGAGGTCATGGGGGAGAAAGGGGACACGAGAGTACATACCATGAGGCAGTTTTCGTCCTTGGTAGGCTTTTTAGCCAAGGTGTCGAAAGGAAACCATCTAGATATATCAGGGAATTTGACAGAGTCTCCTATGTCCTGTGCATTGATGCAAAGCGTGTATTTCTGGCGATCGTTGAAAGCCGGGCAGTTAAGCCCAGCGAACAAAAGATCACGGATCAATCTTTCGTCAAGTCCCATGGTGTTTATCCTTTTGATGCGGGATACAAGAGAGACCATATGGCGATTGGTCAAAGTAAACAACTCGTTGCGCTCATGTACGCTGTACAGCCTGGTCGCATACCACGGGAACTATGCGAGATGAGCAATGCTAACATAGATAGAGAGAAAGATGAACGGCTGATGGAGGGGGCATACCTTGTAGAGAGTGCTAATCGTTGATTCGTAAGTCCGTTGGGGACATTTGGCTCCAAAAGGTGACTAAATAATTCAATCAATACCAGATCTTGTGAGAGAGGATAAGGGGAGAGTGAGAGATACTTACACGATGAGGAATCTCCGCATGGCGAATGGCCCCAACAATCTCCTCACTGGTGAAGAAGCCACAGAACCCAGTAGAGAATCTGTCCATGTTACGCAGCTCGGTTGGGATGCCATCATTCCAGATAATGCACTTTGCACGAGGAAACAGATCACGCAAAAGAGCATCTTGGGAGCTCACTTCCACCGCAACATGGCGACTTCCCATACGAGGAGCACGGCCAGTTTCATAGATACTATTGATGCGAGTGACAGTCTCATGAGCATTCTCTCTAGTCTGGACCTCGACATAACAATCCATCGTCTTTGCAGTGGATCTTTCCATGATGATGTGAACCGCGCAGCCCTGGTTGGGTGCAATGAGCTGGGCACCGCGGCCGACAAACTGCATGATTTCCCATTTGGTGACCGAGTATGGTATCTGCTTATATGTCATCAAATGCTCCTTACAGGATGGGATGGTTACCACGCTCGCTACTAACGTTTGAGATCTTGATCACGCCAAAATTGGGAGGCTCCCTCAGCTGCACGAGACTGCCGATTGGCAGCTCGCTTGCCAAAGCGTACTCATCGATGTCCTCAACACGTTTGTGCCAGAACGGTGGACCTCCACCATGACTGACTTCGTTCGCATGGAATGGCTGGTTCAGAGGAAGGCTAACAGCACGGCGAGAAACAGGGGAAGCATTGCCAAACTCGGGCTGATAGGCGGGGTTATGAGCCACAGATGCTGGGGCAGGTAACTGCAACATCTGACCTCTGTTTGCAGGACCGTTCAGGGTCGATGTTGGGGTTCGGGTAGGCCAAGATGAAGTCTCCATGAATCCGGCTGGACCGAGGCTGCCATTACCAGTAGGGAGAGGCTGTCTGGTCGGAGTCACTGGGGCATCATCAAGGCTCTGGGAAGTGCGAGGGCCAGGAAGACAAGGGTACTCTGAGTTATTGGAGTACGGAGTGGCGTATCCCTGAAAAGGATCACCTGTCTGTCTGTGATCCATCTAGTAGATCCTGGTGTAGCAGATGTCCACACTAATGATTTCTAGCTATGGTACGAGACGACAGAATATGGGGGAGGGGGGCGGGGGATAAGAAGACGAGTGAGGTGGGAGAAGACGTAGAAGCGTAGTAGAGAGGGGGTAGTGAAGGAGGGAGAGTAGTAAAGGAGGAAGATTGGGAGAGGGAGAGTGGGAGAGGGAGAGTAGAAGAGGGTATTGAGTCAAGAATGGTTTTAAAAAGTGGGCTCAAGACCATATATCAAGAACTTCAGCTACAAATCCAGTGTCGAGGTGCTGGAGCATTCACTAGTTTCATGTTTGACGTTTCCAGGACAAGAGGTGACAGAAAGGATTCATGAACTAAGAAATTACCGAGCTGGCACTGAATATCCTCATTCAAACGTTCCGCAAAGTGAGTTGGCCGGGCAGCTTTTTAGAGAATGAACGCCCATACTGGGAAGATTAGTATGTGGATTGCTTGCTCGGCGACGAAATAGTTCGTGGATATCATGCGATCCCACTTCTGGCACATTGTGCGTGAGAGAGCATGGATCATATCACTAGTACCATTGATAGTATCATTGGTAGATTGGGAACTTTGAAACTGTGAGAGTGAGAGTATCATGCTTGGAATCATTTGTGAAGAGTCCGGTTTACCTTTAATGTCATGACAAATAAAAATCGGTCACCAACCCTAGGTAGTTATTAGATTACTATGAAACACTACAAGCTGTCATCAGCCCTTCACGCCATAGCTGGTGTGGTAATGTGCCAGACAATGCAAACCCGCGCGATTGGCTTTGATATAGCGGGTCAATGCGATTCACGCCCCGTATAAAGAATGGCGGGCCAGTATCAATGTGCACGCAGTGTGAAAGTGATCAGATTGTATCTCTTACACTATTACTGCCTGCCTGGACGGACAGCATGCTGAATTCAGATCCAGATGCCGGGCGGCAAGTATAAAATAGGAGCATGCTGCAAGCTTAAGTTTCGAATAATATTGTAGATCTAGGTAAGGGAATAAAGCATCGAGCACCAATGCCACCCCCGGCACCAGCCTAGATCGTCCGTGCAATAGCTGCTGGGCAATAATCTGATGGTAGGAAGAGGAGCGCTGTAACGGCATTTAATCAAACTGTGGACACTATTAGCTTCCGATCTATACAACCAACAGGGGGGTAGATAATCACCGGTGTCAAGAACGATTCGGCAACGAACCGAGCACGAGCATTCAACTGCAAAACGTTATTATTCCAGACTTCCCCACGGTGGTAGCAGAGCAAAACATACGAAGAGCTTCATTTCCGAGATCTCCTTATCGACCTCTTCCATGAACTGAATAATGAAGTCCACCAACTTGTGTTTCAACATGGCCTCCGTGTGGAAGTTCGTGATCAGGAACGAGATGTCGTAACCCTATTTCCCGATTAGCATCCCCCAGCCCCAAGCACGGTATTGGACCAGAGTCTCGAACCTTTACTGGCTTCCTCCGCAGGATAAAGAATGACTCGGCACGCTGTGTCAAGAACCGGGTAAACTTGTGGACCAAGATATGCTCAATTTCATCCGCCTGCTTTATCCTGATGCTGACACGGACACTGTTCACGCTAGGTTCAATGAACACCTTTTCGTTCTCATTGCGCGAAATCGTAAGGGGGTTGAGGAGGAGTTCGGGGGAGCTCTGGGCTTCGATCTCGGGGACGTTATGTCTCTCGGCCGTTTGAGACGCAAAGTTGGACACCGCAAGTGCAGCAGTCAGCGAGGACCGAACGCACTGGAGGTACGGGCGAAGTGATTGAGACTATCTTGTTAGCTTCGTCCGCTTCCCAAAGAGGGTTCCAGCCCAATCAGCTCACCATAATGAGGGTGACGTATGCTGCGGTATCTCAAATTGCTGATGATGGCGCTCTGTCAAGACACCCTTTTGCGCGGACAATTCCAGAGTAATACCGGGATCAAAACCAACAATCCTCAGATTAACTCCGCCAAACCAGTGGTCTTTGTATGGAATGCGACGCTGAATTGAAGGTTGGAGACGGGGGTGGAGGAGGGCGGTTTCCCATCAGGAGTCCCGCTAAGCGGCGGTCCCATGTTTGTTGTGTTTGCAGTATTTGCCCCACGCCCCGATCGCTCACTGACGTTGCTTGAATTGATGCCTCAACCACTCTTTGCAGCACCTTCGTTCAGAATCAATCCCTTTTGAAGACAACCTAGAGACCGAGATTGAGCCACATTAAATATGGCTTCTATACCGAGTATGTACACGATCTAGTGATGAAATGCATGTTCTATCTCGTCCATCTGTTGCTGACGGTCGAACCCAGTCATTGTGAAGCATCAGGGTAAACGCCATGAGGTCGATCTGGACCCCTCGTCGAACGGCGAAACGTTGAAATATCAGCTTTATTCCTTAACTGGTGTCGAGCCCGATCGACAGAAGATCTTGGTAAAAGGAGGACTGAAGGATGACACGCCATTGTCTTCCCTGAAGGCCAAGCCGGGCCAAACGTTCATGATGATGGGCACACCATCCGGCGGTGAAGGTTCTGCAGATCTAGGCAGACCCAAGGAGGTAGTCAAGTTTTTGGAGGATATGACGGAAGCGGAGGCCGCACGAGCGGAGGGCGCTACTCCTGCCGGTCTGCAGAATCTCGGGAATACCTGCTACCTCAACTCAACGCTCCAGACGTTGAAGGGTGTTCCGGAGCTCCAGGAGGCGCTTCAGTTGTACAAGCCATCTGCGGGTGGCGCTGGGGGGTCGAGCCTTTCGGATCTGAGCAGCTTTGGTTTGGGTGGTCTCGGCTCCTCGATGGATCTTACGGCGTCTCTACGGGATCTCTTCAAGCAAATGTCGGAAACTCAGGAAGGGTTTCCGCCACTCATGTTCCTCAATGCTTTGAGAAACGCCTTTCCCCAGTTTGCTCAGAGAGATCGAAACGGCCATGGCTATGCTCAGCAGGACGCCGAGGAGGCCTGGTCCCAGATTGTCTCCCAACTACGGAACAAGCTGACGATCAAGGAGGGCGAGGGTGAATCAGCTACCGAGGTGTCTTTCGTGGACAAGTACCTTGGGGGGCGATTTGAATCCATCACCGAATGTGACGAGTCTAGTGCCAGGGAGGCTGGGGAAGAACCCTCGCGCAGCTCGGATGTCTTCTACAAGCTTGACTGCCACATTGGCAAAGAAACCAACCATTTGCACGACGGTATCAAGGCGGGATTAGAAGAAAAGATTGAGAAACATTCGCCTACTCTTGGCCGCGACGCGGTGTACACGAAACGCTCCAGCATCGCTCGTCTGCCCCGGTACCTGGCTGTGCATTTTGTGCGCTTCTTCTGGAAGCGTGAGACTCAGAAGAAGGCCAAGATCATGCGCAAAGTGACGTTTCCTCATGAATTAGATGCGGTTGATTTCTGCACCGACGAGCTGAAAACTCAACTGATCCCCATCCGAGACAAGGTGCGCGAGATCCGAAAGGACGAGCTCGACATTGAACGCAGCAAGAAACGTCAGAAGATTGCTCGTAAGCGTGAGGAAGATCAGAAGGCCGCGGGTGACTTGGGGTCTAGCATGGAGCCGATGCAAAAGAAGAAGGCCACCGAAGAGAACAAGGAGACTGACAAGGCGGCCGACAAGACGACCGACAAGACGACTGATAAGGCGACCGACAATGATGCGACAATGACCGATGCTTTCAAGACCGATGCCGATTACGAAGCAGAAAAAGCCGCCTCTATTGAGACGGCCCGACAGGAGCTGTCTCAGCTACTCGACCAACACGGTGCCCCGGATGCTGGTACCAACAAGTCCGGCCTCTACGAGCTCCGGGGTCTAATTACCCATCAAGGCGCCAGTGCTGACAGCGGTCACTATACCGCGTACGTCAAGAAGCAAGATGGCGATAAGACCAGCGAAACCGGAACTTGGTGGTGGTTCAATGACGAGAAGGTGACCGAGGTGGAGGGAGAAAAGATCGAGACTCTCTCCGGCGGTGGTACGCTCTCTTTCCCATAGTCTTTATTCTTTCCAGATGACCATTCTCTAACGATATATCTCTCCAGGCGAGTCGCACTCCGCCCTCATCCTTCTCTACCGCGCCATCGACCTGCCGACTGCGAATTAGATAGATAGATGGTATCCCATTAGTCCACGTGGTAAACAAAAGCCTAATGTCACAGACCCATGATCAGATGTTCCAATTGGTTTCCTCCGAGGTATTCCCATGCATTGCTGCCTTGTCCTACTATTGCTCTCCGTTGTATGATCTCCGTAGATGGATAACCTCCCGTCCTTGTGACTGTGGCATGACGCCGTCGGTGCTTAGTCACCTATCTAGTTCCAGTGAGATCATTCATGACAGCTCATTAGTCATCATATACAATGGATTGTGTCGGCATAAAGAATGGCCTTCGGCCGGACTGGAATGTACGCGGGTGGAGAGAACTTCCCGTCCCGTCCAAATACCCCGATGGCCTCAGGCCCAACTCCCTTGCCTCCGCTTTATTTTCTTTACGAGGGAAAAACCGAATTATTTCGCCGCGTCGTCCATTACCATTTTCATTTCCACTTACTGTTCCTTATCATAACCTCACTAACTCCTCCGGTATTGACTGGACTGATTTCTTTCCCCCATTACACTCCTCCCGTCCCCGCAGAGGTCGCATCTCCTTTTCCTCTGTCGCGTCAACTGGTTCGTGTGGCGTCTGTTTCCTTTTTTTTGAGGGGATCCTTGTCCTAAGACGTCTTGCCCCCCGGTTTTTCTCTTCTTTCTTTTGATTTATTCTATTTTATTTTATTTCTTCTTTAATTTTCTTACTCTCTTTTCTACCATTTTTTTTACGGGATAGGTTCACTTCCATCATCTGTAGCCATGGGTATTCCGTGAGTTTCTCCATGCGCTGGACGTGTCGGCTATCGGCGCTTTACGCGCTCGCGATGTGGCCATGGCGCTCGCAAACGGGCTTGCTTACTGACAGCTGGGTAGGATGTTCCGCGAGTCTACCTCCGCCGAGGTCCCCAAGAGCAACCCTATCAAAGACCCCTGCGCCGCCGCACGCTCGACCATCCGTCGCCAGGGCGCAATTCACCGCCAGGCGCGTCCGGGTTCCGCCCTACGAAGCGCAACTCTCCGGCCTCCTTTCCCTCGCCCGCTAGCAGATGAGATCGAGCGGGAAGCGAGTGGGTTACAGCGTCCAGTTCGCTCTCCATTCCCCGACTCTAGCAACGGCGAGGATCTCTTTGATCTGGCGAATGGTTTTGCGGATTCGAGCAGCCAGTCGACCGGTCAGCGGTTGCTTAACGAGGTGCTCCGCCATAGCCGCCCGACCCAGCGGCTGAGGTTGCCACGCATTCGTCCGCTTCTTCGTGACGAAGTCGCTAGTGGACAGCCCGATCTTCAATCGCCCAATTTCACGCCGCGCTTCGCACCCGCGGTTGCGTATCATCGAACGGAATCTCCGCGCCCGCAGTCGCATCCACCTCCGCACCCGCACCCGCACCCTGAGGTCCTTCGTCTATCTCCGTTTCCTCGACCGGGAGGCGATGTCTCTGTCGGGTCGACAGTGCCCTTGCTACGACGAGTCGGTCAACGATCCATCAACGAACCGAACGGCGCCAACCGCGACCCGGCCATCGACGGCCTTGGGGATCGTCAACGAAGTGTTAGCCCAGATGATGACCATGCCAACAACGCGTGGGAGACCCTACTGACGACGATCACCCCGGACGCCAACCTTCCCAGCGCCGACTCCTCCTTCACCTCCGCTTCTGCATCGGGAACCAACACATCGACCAACGGGACCTCCAGGAGCTCTGCCACGTCCTTTGGAAACCTCCCCAGCTCTCTGGACCCCAGCGCCGCAACAGTGCATATGGTGCTGGACCCTTATCCGGAAATGCCCAACCCCTGCGATTACAGCTCCACTGATTCCGACTCGGACTCGGAGTCCGGGTTCGACTTGACCCACCAGTCTCTCTACCGGCGCTACCGTCGCATGCGCCGCATGGACTCGATGCGACGCGCTCAGAATCTCAACTCGGCAATGAACATCCCACCCCCTCCTCCAACCTTCTCTTTCGCATTCTCCGATTCATCCACCGACCCAGATCTGCAGCAGATGCATGCGATCCTGGACCGTCTTGCTCGGCGGGAGGACATTCCCGAAAATTGGTGGGCGGCAGCTGGACTGTCGCGCATCATTGGCCATCGACTCGGCGCAGAAGCAAACAACGAGTCTTCCAATGGCTCGGACCGCCCTGAGCCGAGACGTTGAAATGCATGCCTTTCTCTTTCTTACATATTATTTTTTTTATTTTTATTTTCTATTTTCTTCCTTTCACAATGTTTTCTGTTTGCTTAGGAAGGTCTGCATCATCTCTAAAGGGCTCAGCGAGAATTTCATGTGGGGCGTTCATTGGCGTTTGTTACACGGGGAATGGTTGGCGAGACATATTATCAGTAAATAGCTAGCTATAGTTAGTCATATCTGGGGGTGATTTGATTTGCATTCATACATCAGATACCAAATTCGCAAGTCAGTTTGGCGGATACAACTCCATTTTTCCCATTCTTTTCTCGGCAGAAATGTTCATGATCTTTTCCATAGTAGTATACAGTAGTATGATGGTGTGTATGGCCGACCCCGGTATAGTAGACAGTAAATAATTGGTCCAGACTTCCAGAAGCCATCAACCGGAATTGGTGGAATGTATTCAACTAATGGGGGGTTGTCCCTGTGACGTCGACGCATGAAGCGTCCAGACCGCAGTACCCCACTCCGAGGGCGTGGGAAGCCCCGCCGATGGCGTTGATGTTTTATCATTGCCTACTCGGCGAAATATTTGAGCTCCCCAACCTATATTGAACATTCGATTTTTCTGAACTATCACCCCTATCGACGGACAAATATTTACGAGTGGTAACTTCGTCTAACTCGTGGCTAGTCATTCAAACAGTACGCGCACACTCGCCGACTTCGGTGCCCGCTGTTTCCACTACCCTGTCTTTTTTCAAGTCTTCGCGCTTGTTGACGACATTTGAGGGATTCGATCAACCATGGATCAGCAGGTCGACAGGCTAGTCGATAAGATCTGGGGTAAGCTCTCAACAATCATCATGCACCACTTCTCTCTCTCCGACGATCAACCATTTCAACTTAGATCGGTCGCCAGCCGACCCCGCAGCACATTCACCCACACACACACACACACAGAGAGAAAAAAGAGCAACACTAACCTCACTCCCAACAGGGAAATACCAATCCACACCCCCAAACGCGCGCCTCCTAATAGCCGTCAGCGGCATCCCAGGGTCCGGCAAAACCGGCCTCGCCACAACAATGGCAGCGCGCATCAACGCCCTCCACGCCGCAACCCACCCGCACAACAGCACACCTATCGCAGCCACAATCCCAATGGACGGATACCACCTCACACGGGCGCAGCTCGCGCAAATGCCCGACCCCGCCTACGCGGCCGCCCGGCGCGGTGCGGCCTTCACCTTCGACGGGGAGAAGTTCCTGAAGCTTGTGCGGGCGCTGCGGGAGCCTGTTACGGCGGAGACGAAGAGTGTGTACGCGCCGAGCTTTGACCATGCGGTGAAGGACCCTGTTGATGATGATATTGAGGTGCCGGCTTCGTGTCGGGTTGTGTTTTTCGAGGGGAACTATTTGAGTTTGGATCGCGATCCGTGGAATCGGGCGGCGGGGTTGATGGATGAGCTTTGGTTTGTGGATGTGGATTTTGAGGTTGCTAGGGAGAGGCTGGTGAGGAGGCATGTGCTTGCGGGCATTGCGGAGGATGAGAGGGCTGCGGAGAAGAGGGTGAGGGAGAATGATCTTGTTAATGGGAGGGAGATTGTGGATTGTAGGTTGGGGGTGCAGGAGGTGATTAATAGTACGTTTGATGCTGGTTGGGGGAGTTGAGATTCTTTATAGGGGGATGGATTGGACTGGATTAATGGATTATGGGGGGGGAGTTGCTTCATGCTTGTTGAGTTTATGGGTTAGTTTTTGGGAAGCGTTCTACATATTCGTGGTATCTTGAGCGCATGAGTATGAGCGTTATTGTCGCATGCCTGGGAGAATCCTGAGTGTGGACTGTAAATAGATGGATTGGGCTGTTAGAGTAATTTTATAAACGGATCGCACTAATCAAGGCTCTATCCATAGCCTGTAATACCAAATACGCATCATGCACATTCCAAACCCAAGGGATCTTTATCCACGATCCTGAATCTCTCCTTGAATTCCATAGATTCATCTAGAACGATCTCTCTTCCCTAGCAATCTATAGACCCAGGCCTGGCTACAAAACCAGATGCCAGTTTGATACCGGTATTTACCCACTGATATACCAGACTAACCCGTCCAGACCACTAATTTACGGGGTTCACCTCGTGTGGTCAATACTAAGAAAACACCGGGGGCAAAAACGCCCTGGGCGGATCGGCAGGGCCGTTACTCTTTCAGGGGGTGAGACAACTTAAACCATCTCAAAGAAGTCAAGCCTGCTTAGGCCCAAGGCAGTCTCTCCCTCACTTCCCTCCTGCGTCTTCGCTTTTCAATCCTCGTCCTTCACTCTTTTGCTCTCTTTTTCTGCGTCCATACTACACAGTCCTTCCTTTGTTCCAGTCATTCTTTTTACAACTACAACTACCATATACACTCTTTATCACCATTCGGTACTTGTGATTTCTTCGCGCTTACGATTCCCCCCTATTCCGTCGCTCGCGATAACAATTCCCCCCTAACATCCCCGGAATCTACTCTGTCGCGAATACTCCGTCCCGACGTCACCATGTTTTTCGCCAAGTCCGCTTTCCTGGTCTCGTTCCTGGCCCTCAGCAATGTTGTTGTTGCGGCCGGCCCGTCCGCCTGTCTTCTATCGGCTGTGGGGTATGTACAATCCGAACCGTGAGGATCGCGGGAGAGAAAGACGGATCATTGGGCTGACAATTCCCACCCAGTCAGCAGGAGAACCCGGCCGACATGAAGGCCATGTGTGTCACCAACACCAAGCGCGTGCAGAAGGAGATCGCCGATTCCTGCGGAAAGGACAAGGACGACGCTCTGAAGGAATACGCCGAGACCTGCGCCGACAACGACCACAAAGTTGGTAAGTTGCCAACCCCTTCGTCCACCTCACCCCACGAAAAAAGATCCCGTCTAACTCAAGTAGAAATCGCCTCGAAATCCTCGGATAATTCCGCCTCCAAGACCGGTGGCTCCCACTCGAGCGACAGCTCTGCCTCCGCGACCGGCGGCTCCTCCAGCAACGATGATTCCTCCAGCAGCGATGACTCCTCCTCCTCCTCCTCCCCGTCCTCCGGTTCCAGCACCGGCTCGTCGGCGTCCGCCAGCGCTTCGCCTTCTGACTCGGTCTCGGCTGGTTCGTCCGACCGTCAGGTCTCTGCCGCTGCGTTTGCCGCCGTTGTCTTCCTGGGTTTTGCCGCTACTATGTAGGAGGTTGGAATGAGTTGAGCTTGTGTGATGCTGATCGACGTTTGGAGTGCCGTTGACTGATACCTTTCTTTTCTCTGCCTGTTCAAATACCTTTCCACATTTGACCATATATTGAACCAACTCATTGAACTCTGAGAGTGATACATACCGATTTGTTTGGGGGCGTTGAGGTTACTGAATAGAGGTTCGGATAGAGGTATAGACAATAGAAATGTAGACAATAGAGGTGTAGAACTAACCCCCAGTCTTGAGTTGCTTGACTCAGTCTCGCGACTGGTTAGCGTGTAGTCCGCTGGATGCGTGACTATGTAAGAGGTCTCAGCAGAGGACCTCGATGATTGCAGCTTGGACAAATCACATCCAACGCCGAGCGTACTCGTGTGTATGATAATCTATACATCCGAGCACGCCATGAGAAATTGATCAACACGTGTATCAATTACTCCGACAATCGGTACTGCTTGACATCATCTGATACATCTTATCGCGTCGGAATGTGGCGTGAAGGGATACCCGTCACCTCCGCCCCGGCGGAACTGGCAACTGGCCAAATCTTAGTCAGTTCCGCCCGGCAAAGCAAGGGAAATCTTCTCCATTTGGGTCCAACACGAAAAATCGCGTTGCAACGCGTTTTGCCCCGGCGACATCAAATATCTAACCTTAGCCTCTCTCGCTGCCCCTCCGTCTTCTTTTGTTTCTTTCTTCTCATCCTTCTTCCCCTTCATAACTTCCTTCCCTTCCATTGACAAGACCCTTCTTTCCTCTCTGCCACGATTGCTTGTTTGAATTCTTCAACGCATATCACATTCTTCTGGGAATCTGTCATATATCCTTGTTTTCCTGGTCTCTTTTCCCACGATCCTGCTCCAGCGTATCGCTGCTACCGTTGACGATGTTTGTCTACAAGAGAGGTATGCATACATCTTGGTTTTAAGATCTTTGCTCCTTGGCTGCATGGATTGCTTTACGCCGTCTTTGGCTGAATCACTCTTGCCACTTGTGCTAACAACGTGCTAGATGGCCGCAAGGAACGCGTGCAGTTCGATAAGATCACGGCCCGTGTATCGAGACTGTGTTACAGCCTCGACCCCGAGCACGTCGATGCTGCTGCTATCACTCAGAAGGTCATCTCCGGTGTCTACCAGGGTGTCACCACCGTGGAGCTAGATAACTTGGTATGTTCTTGATGCGTGGTCAACAGAATGGATGCTAATCCGATGATGATGTGAAGGCTGCCGAAACTGCGGCGTACATGACCGTCACTCACCCAGACTACGCCATCCTGGCTGCCCGTATAGCCGTATCCAACCTCCACAAGCAGACCAAGAAGCAGTTCTCCTTGGTCATCTCAGATCTCTATCACTATGTCAACCCGAAAAATAACAAACCCGCGCCGATGATATCAAAAGAAACATATGAGATAATTATGAAACATGCAGATGAGCTCAACTCGGCCATCGTGTATGACCGTGACTTCAACTACAACTTCTTCGGCTTCAAGACCCTGGAGCGGTCATACCTGCTCCGGGTCAACGGAAAGGTGGCTGAGCGCCCTCAGCATCTGTTGATGCGTGTTTCCGTTGGCATCCACGGGAACGACATTGAGAAGGCCATTGAGACCTACCATCTGATGTCCCAGAAGTTCTTCACCCATGCCTCTCCGACGCTGTTCAACGCCGGTACCCCCCAGCCGCAGTTGGCTTCGTGCTTCCTGGTTGACATGAAGGAAGACAGCATCGAAGGTATCTATGACACTCTGAAGACGTGTGCCATGATTTCCAAGACCGCCGGTGGTATCGGTCTCAACGTGCACCGCATCCGTGCCACTGGCTCATACATCGGTGGTACCAACGGTTCCTCCAACGGCATCGTCCCCATGCTCCGCGTGTTCAACAACACCGCTCGCTACGTGGACCAGGGTGGCAATAAGCGTCCCGGTGCCTTTGCTATCTACCTGGAGCCGTGGCACGCCGATGTTTTCGAGTTCCTCGATCTGCGGAAGAACCACGGTAAGGAGGAAGTCAGAGCCCGTGATCTGTTCTTTGCCCTCTGGACCCCGGATCTATTCATGAAGCGCGTGGAAGCCAACGGCGATTGGACCCTCTTCTGCCCCAACGAGGCCTCAGGCCTGGCTGATGTCTACGGCGACGAGTTTGAGGCTCTGTACGAGAAGTGAGTTTTCCCCATGACCCGAACAATGGACTACATGGTATTAACGGTGATCAGGTACGAGCGGGAAGGCCGCGGCCGCAAGACCATCAAGGCTCAGAAGCTTTGGTACGCTATTTTGGAGGCCCAGACCGAGACGGGCAACCCCTTCATGCTGTACAAGGATGCGTGCAACCAGAAGAGCAACCAGAAGAACCTGGGCACCATCCGCAGCTCCAACCTGTGCACGGAGATTATCGAGTACAGTGCGCCGGATGAGGTCGCCGTCTGCAACCTGGCGTCGCTGGCGCTCCCCACCTTTGTGGATGCCGCCCGTGGCGAGTACGACTTTGGCAAGCTCCACGAGGTCGTCCGGGTCTTGGTCCGCAACCTGAACAAGATCATCGACATCAACTACTATCCGGTCCCCGAGGCCAAGAAGAGCAACATGCGCCACCGTCCCATTGCCCTGGGTGTCAACGGTCTGGCCGACGCCTTCCTGGCCCTGCGTCTGCCGTTTGACTCGGCCGAGGCGAGACAGTTGAACATCCAGATCTTCGAGACCATCTACCACGGTGCTCTGACGGCGTCGTCGGAGCTGGCCAAGGAGCTGGGCACCTACGAGACCTACGAGGGCTCCCCGGTCTCCCAGGGGATCCTGCAGTATGACATGTGGGACCGCACGCCGACCGACCTGTGGGACTGGGACGCGCTCAAGGCCAAGATCGCCCAGACGGGCGTGCGCAACAGTCTGTTGGTGGCGCCCATGCCGACGGCCAGCACGAGCCAGATCCTAGGCTTCAACGAGTGCTTTGAGCCGTACACGTCGAACATCTACTCGCGGCGAGTGCTGGCGGGCGAGTTCCAGGTGGTCAACCCGTGGCTGCTCAAGGACCTCGTGGACCTGGGCCTCTGGTCTGACAACATGAAGAACCGCATCATCGCCGATGGCGGATCGGTGCAGAACGTCCCTAACGTGCCGGCAGACATCAAGGCGCTGTACAAGACGGTGTGGGAAATTCCTCAGCGATCGATCCTCCAGATGGCCGCGGACCGCGGCGCGTACATCGACCAGTCGCAGTCGCTCAACATCCACCTGAAGGAGCCGACGATGGGCAAGATCACGAGCATGCACTTTGCGGGGTGGAAGATGGGCCTGAAGACGGGCATGTACTACCTGCGCACTATGGCGGCGTCGGCTCCCATCCAGTTCACGGTGGATCAGGAGCAGCTCAAGGTGGAGGACACCAACGTTGCCCGGGCGAACCCCTCGTTCAAGAAGCGGACGGGGACCCCGTCTGGCAGCACCGCCTACTCTGCGGTGCCGCGCACGCCGTCGAGCTCGGAGCCCAGCGAGGAAGCCCCGGCGGCGGCGGCGATCGAACCCACGCCGGCGGTGGAGACAAACGCCAACGGCGAGGCCCCGAAGGCGGAGGCCCCGGCGGAGGGAGAGAGCGAGGGCGACATCTTCTCGCAGAAGGTGCTCCAGTGCAGCATTGAGAACAAGGAGGCGTGCGTGATGTGCCAGGGTTAGAGTAGTAGATAGTATTGACGAGGGATTTGGCGTCGGGATTTTTTTTTTTTTTTTCTTTTGTTTTATTTTTGAATTTGTGGGTAATTATATCATGAGATGGATGCTTAACATGGGTATGTAAAAATGACAATATCAATATATTCTTTCTATTTTATTCTTTGATTTACTCTATCTTCTATTCTTCAGTCAATATTCTAGATCCCACCCCATGTTACTATACCATTTGCCCCCTCCTCCCCTCCCCAGCCAAACACGAATCGCCTTCCAAACAAACAAACTCCCCGACACCTACACAGTGTAATCAAATGAAACAAACCGCAGTCAGTCAGTCAGTCAAGTAGAGTAGACCGGTTACGAGCGGGCCAAGCAATCCAGACCGACGCCACCGGGAAGGAAAAGTCAAAACCACTCAAAAAAGCTCAAAGAAAAAAGTTAAACTGAGTGAAAGAAAGGGCAGAAATAGCCGTCGAATCAGTGGTCGTTGTTTACCCAGTACCTTTTTACCTAATGAGTTAGTACCTGAGTGTAAGGTCGGGAGGTGTTGGTTAGCGTTGGCGCCTTGGGGCGGTTTAACTAGCCAGTCTGCCTGTCAGCGGGCGAGTAAGAGAGGCTGTGTGTGTGTGTGTGTGTGTGTGTGTGTGTGTGTGTGTGTGTGTGTGTGTGTGTGTGGAGGGGGGGAAGCAAAGGGAAGAAAGAAATCGAGGTGCATCTCCACTCGGGCTGACCGGTGAGACAGGGAGAGGGACAACAGGTTGATTCTTGACTGAGGTTGGAGTGATTGATTGGGTGGTGGGGGGATTGGATTGAAATCTTTTCGTGGTGGGCTGCCTGAGGTAGGAAGGTTCAGGCTCAGGTCCAGGTTCAGGTACCACGTCAGGTATCAGCTCGAGTCACTGTCTGTTACTGTTACTGTTACTGTTACTGTTCCTGTTATTGTTACTGTCACTGTTGGCTCAACATGGGTGTGATTGATAGTTGACACACGAATTACCACATCTGTCTCTGTCTCTCTTTTCAGAATGAAAGAGTGAAATAGAAGGAAACAAAGAAAGAGAAAGAGAAAGAAAGAAAGCACAACGAAGATCAGACACGTCAGAGTCCGTGTAGGATCAGAAAGATCCCGTGTTTGTGTTGACCAGGAAATTGCTTGATTGAGATTGACCACTAAGAGAGGAATAGACCGATAGTTCTGTCTGGACCGCCTCGGGGGCCGTGGATCGGGACATATTGATGGGCCATCGGTCAATACGAACGGATGATCCCCCTGAACCATCCTTAGTTCTACCTACTACGTAGTAGTTAGTATGGGAGGTAGCTGATTTTACCGTACCAGTACTGGGTATACTGTATTGACTAGGGTTACTGGGTTAGTGTTCAGGTACCCGTCTAGTCTCGACGGAGTCTGACTCGGGTTCCTGACTGTCTGACTGTTCCTGCGTGGCCCCTCCAAAACCCGACCAGTCGTATATTATCAGACAGGATAAAATACTCACCGAATACGTGGATGCATCAATGAATCGATCCACGTCAGACATGACAGGTCAAAGCGGTCTCTGTCCAGGTGCCTAATCAGGAAAAAAAGATGAAGCTGTACGACTGTAATTTCGGATCTGTACCAACTCCCCCTCTGATTGATTGATTCCCATCTGACCGATTCTCAGGTACAGCTTCAAAGAACGGTACTGGTAAGATTTCCATGGTTCACGCTCGTCACGGGCTGGTTCGGTGGGCTCGGTGGGTCCGGGGGGCTTTGACGTTATAGTACGAAGTAAGTTGGCCCGATTCATCCTTTGGTCTTTTGAGTTTTGGGCTGTCGAGGTATCCATCTCTCCATTCCTTTCTCTCGTTTAAATACTCCTTCGCCGGTCCTTCCCTCCCTCGCGTTTTTTTTTTTTTTTTCCTTCTTTCTTTCGCCTCACCACTCCTTCCTTTACTTGACAGCTTCTGTCGTTCTTTCTTTCATCCCCACACGCTCCACTCTCTTGCGCGTGTCCAACTACTCGGCTATCACTACTATCAAGATTCTCTACTGCTGCGCAGTCTGGTCTTGATCTCACTCTTTATTGTCGGTCGATCTCTCTATCTGTGGCTTTGAGTCCATCAATCTTTTGGTCAATTCATTCGTCCAATTCTACAATCAATAAACTCAATCCAATCAATCCATTTCATTCGGGAAAAAAAATGGCCCCCCTCGCCAAATCCATCGCCCTGGCTGGTGCCCTCTGCGCCGCTCTGTCCTCCGCTGCCCCCGTCAAGCGTGAGAACATCGTCGTCTGGGAGACTTCCACCACCGTCGAGTGGACTACCGTGGATATCACCACCACCGTCTACCCCCCCGCGGCCCCCACCGTCCACACCTCCGTTGTCAACCTGACTCCGGCCGTGCCGACCCCTCAGCCTGAGCCCACCGAGGAGCCTGAGGACCCGCCTAAGACCACCCAGGCCCCTCCGCCCCCTCCCAAGCCCACCACCACTACCACCACTGCGCCTCCTCCGCCTCCCAAGACCACCGAGGCCCCTCCGCCTCCCAAGACTACCGAGGCCCCTCCGCCTCCCCCGACTACTGAGGCTCCTCCCCCGCCGCCCCCGACCACTCAGGCTCCTCCTCCGCCTCCCAAGACTACCCAGGCTCCTCCTCCCCCTCAAACTACTACTCAGGCCCCTCCCCCGCCCCCGCCTACCTCCGGCGGTGGCTACACCGGCTCCTGCTCCAAGGACACCCCGTGCAAGGGCCAGGTCACCTACTATGACACCGCCACTGACCCCTCTGCCCCCAGCAGCTGTGGCTGGACCAACGACGGTGAGAACGAGGCTGTGCTGGCCCTTCCCGTTGGCCTCATGAAGGACTCCGACTGCGGCCGCATGGTCACCGTCAAGTACGGCGGCGTCACCAAGCAGGGCAAGGTCGTCGACAAGTGCATGGGATGCGACAGCTCCTCCATCGATATCTCCAGGCACTTCTTCGGCGAAATCGCCAAAATGCTCGAGGGCCGTCTGCACGATGTGGAGTGGTTCATGGAATAAGCGTTGATCGCACGCTAGCATCGCTTATTCTCTCTCTCTCTCTCTCTCTTCATTCTTCCTTTCGCTGTTGATTCTCTTCTGCCCTTCTTTACCATACCATATTTTCTCTTCTTTCCTACCTGGTTTCCATCCGACCTTCGTTTTCCCCCATCTTTGATACCACCGGGAACCGGGTTAGGCAGCAATCAGCAATTTTTACCATTCATGTGAATAGACATTTTCGGGTTCATTTTAAAAGCCATTTTATCACCCCTTGAGGCGACCAGAATTGGAGAATCGAGAGAGAAGAAATTCGCCGATGCGGGTTCCACCAACTGTCTGGATGACAGACTACCCCTGAGATTATCGAATGGACGGACTGGTTTCTGTCTAGGGTTGGCTTACGAGGCATGATTTACTGCAATTAAACTTTTTGATAAATTTGGTGACTGTAGTTCTGTAGTTTCCTACATATCCCTGGTGTGTTATCTAGCAGAGTTATCTAGATTTATCTGGCGATGCCCCTGATCCTGGTTAAGATCGACGGGGATTCCTTGCATAAAATTGCGAGATGTGCCTGTTATACACGTGACGGATCTGCGCCCGATCATTGGAACGTGGTTTGCTGCCTTGTTTTTGCCTCGGGGTTTGTCTACTTTACTTTGGCGTCTGTTGGGCCCTTTCTTTACTCTTCATCCACTTACTCCATAGGTAAGTATGCTTCTACTCAATTTACTACATGAGTACGTAGTATGTTCCTACCCACATCACTTCTTCAGGATGCTTCCACTCAGCCTACTCCACAGTATGTGTCTAACCACCTTACTCCAATTATGCTTCTTACTAACGTTATCCCCTATCCAGGAACATACCCAAACACAAAGGACAAAAAGAAAGATATGCTCAATCTAAGCGTATTCCCCGTCAGGAACACGAACAATCAACAAATAAAATATCAGAAAAACATGTATCCAAGATGATCAACAACCAATCATCCACAAATGAAACACCCACGCGGTCTTAGCGAATCGAACCGTTGTGAAGATCGACACCCTCGGCCTCGGAACTTTGCTTGGCCCCCCCTTTACCCCCTCGACGATCTCTTCCCCAGTCTTTCTGCCTACCTGGCAAGCTAACCTGCAAGACTTTTTTCTTTTTTCTTGCACAATGCCAGGTCGGCCCGCTATTCTCGTTTGCCGGGCCCGTTTACTGGTTGGTCGGTTATTCGGTCTGCTCGTTTAGTTTTTAGGGGTGATGATCGGCGGCGCTTTTTGCTCTGTCTGCGGAGAGAACCGCCTATCGACTCGCTTCTATGCTTGGCTTGTTGTTTGCTGGTGCTGGGCACTGGCTGTGAGAGAGGGGATGGACAGTGGGCAATGGACAGGGAGAGTGTCAAGTCGACGATGCAATGCAACCTCAGCTGCTAAATTAAAGAAACCATGCAAAGGCGGCCCATCATCTGGCTCTGCAGACATCTCATTCACCCTGCGGATGGATTCCTGCGCTCATCCGGGAGGGGACTAATTGCTAATTAATATAAACAAAAAAAGAAACACCCCATGACAGTTCCACCCCCGCCCGTCGGTCGCCGTGAGCTGCAAGTGGGTTCGACTAGCCTGATACTGGCCATCCCCCCCTCCCGTCTTTATAAAAGGTAAACGGTCCCCGGTTCCCGACTATGCGGTGTCTATCAGTGCAGTTTCTCTCCGGTGTCCCGCCTTTCCTTTTCGCGACCTAGTATCGCGACGATCGACTCATGAAATCCGCCTTTTTTGTGGCCGCCTTGGCCGCTGTCGTCCAGGCAGAGTCCAACGAGACTGAGAAGCCCAATTGGGCTGAGAAGATCTGGAATGATGCCACGGCTGCCGTCACCTGTGCGGCTTGCGAGGTTGGTAGTCTGGTCCCCTTGGGCAGGGAAACGGGCTAATTTGAGTAGGGACTTTTAGGGACGCTCAAGGGGGCGGCCGGTCTGGGACAGCATGCTTTGGAGAATATCCTGGCCGATGTGTGCAAACTCGCAAAAGTAGGTGGTCTGACCCTCGACAATTGGACAGCTACTAATATATTGCAGATCGAAGATGACGATGTCTGCGAGGGCATCATTGCGGAGCAAGGCACCTCGGCCTACTACGTCCTTACCCACCTCGATGTCGGCTCGCACACCTCCAAGACCTTCTGCGCCAGCATCACCAGCCTCTGTGAATACCCCGACGTCCGGCCCTACAACCTCACCCTCCCCCCGCGTCGACCGGGTACCAAGCGTCCGGAGCCGAGCGGACAGAAGCCCATCCGGGTCGCCCATATCAGTGACACGCACGTCGACCAGCACTACGAGGTCGGCGCCAACTACTTCTGCTCGAAGCCCATCTGCTGCCGCAGCTGGGACCCCGAGGTGGACGCCCCTGGCAACACGTCGTACCCGGCCGGCCCCTGGGGCAACGAGCAGTGCGACCCGCCCCTGCGCCTGGAAGACAGCATGGTGAAGGCAATCGCCGCCCTCGATCCCACCCTGACGCTCTACACGGGCGACATCCCCGCCCACGACGTCTGGCAGGCGAACCAAACCGAAGTCCTCCTCAACTTCGAGTCCACCTACGACAACCTCGGCAAGCTAGGCCTCGTCTACGGCGCCCTGGGCAACCACGACACGGCCCCAATCAACGCGTTCCCCTTCGGCAAGGTGCCCAAGTCGCACGCGCCCCAATGGGCCTACGACGCGCTCGAGCGCGAATGGAGCGAACTCGTCCAGAACGGCGGCGACGCCTCTGACTTCGCCTCCTCCTACCACGAGGGCTCCTACGCCGTCAACTCCCAAGGCGGCAAGCTGCGCATCATCTCCTACAACAGCATCTACTACTACAAGTACGACTTCTACGCCTTCCAGGAGCCCATGGAGCACGACCCCAACCACCAGTTCGCCTGGCTCATCAAGGAGCTCGACGCCGCCGAAAAGGCCGGCCAGCGCGTCTGGCTCATCTCGCACATCCCCTCCGGCCACGGCGACATGCTCCACGACTACTCGCACTCCATCGACCTCATCGTCAACCGCTACGCCGCAACCATCGCCGCCCTCTTCTTCGGCCACACCCACACCGACCTCTTCCAAGTCTCCTACACAAACTACACCACCCGCTCCGCAGACACCGCCTCCGCCATCGGCTACGTCGCAGGCTCCATGACCCCCGACGCAGGAAGCCCCACCTTCCGCATCTACGACGTCGACCCCGCCACCTTCGCCGTCCTCGACTACACGGTCTACACAGCCAACATCAACAGCACAAACAGCACCGACCAAGAACCCGCCTGGACCAAATACTACTCCGCAAAGGAAGCCTACGGCGCGCAGCTCTCGCCCCCCGTCACAGACCCCAAAGCGGAACTCACCCCGGCCTTCTGGCACCACGTCACCGAGCGCTTCGAGTCCGACGCCGCGCTCTTCCAGAAGTGGTGGGCCCGCACCACCCGCGACTACAACGTCACCGAGTGCGTCGACTCCTGCCAGGAGGAGCAGATCTGTGCCCTCCGCGGCGGCGACGCCCAGTTTAACTGTGGCTCCAAGCCGGCGCTGAGTCTGCCGAAGCGCGATGGCGCTGTCGTGGAGGTTGCTGCCAAGCCGCCCCGCCCCGTGTGTGAGGATGGTGGACTTCCCCGTGTGTTGAGCATGCTGGTGCGTAAGACTGGTGGTGCGGGCCAGCTGGATCGGCTGTTGCAGGAGAAGGCCGCTGCTTATAAGGCTTGATTTGGATATAGTATGGAGTGTATATAGTGAAGGACGTAATATAGTGAAGACATAATCTAGTGAAGACATAATCTAGTGAGGACATAATCTAGTGAGGACATAATAAAGTGAAGTACATACGAGTTGTTGTAATATAGTATCCAATTAGTATTTTGGTTGTTTATAGTGTGCTGAGATGGAGGTTGACTATCTATTTCGTCGGTTTTAAACGTACAGCACCGCGTCTGTTGTTGATGAAATGTATATATCTTACGTAGAAACATAGTGCAATCCTCGGTAAACACCGCAAACAAAGATATATATACAATCGAATGCAAAAAATAAACAAATAAACAAACAATTAATTAAAAAAAAAAAAAAAACCACATAACCTAACTACTATCATATTAGTAACTATAGATTGAGTCTAGAGATAAAAAACAATAATAATAATAATAATAAGACAAAGAGATAGAACTCATTTCTCGAACCTAGCTAGTGTGAGGGTTGAAAAAAAAAATACAAAAAGATTGAGTGAGATGGGGCTCGAACCCACAACCTTTGGTGTAATTGTTATGAACAATTATTTGTGTAATCGTAAACCGAAAACCAACGCGCTGCCATTGCGCCACCCACCCGGATTATATATTTCGGATAGTTTTTGTTACTCATAAGGTACGTTAACTTGTCTTTTTTGGTGCGATTTGGCTTGGGGTTATTGTGTTAGTGGGCTCTTTACACCGTAGTTGATTATTATTTCGTTCATATAGTAGTGAGTTTGTTTATTCTAGCGTTTCTGGAATATTACATGTCTGTTGGAATGCTGCTATCATATTAAAACGTATTCGAATTGTATGATCTATTGTGGTCTTTGTATGAGGATGCACGATAAGAAGCTGCGCAGCGGTTAGTTATGTACATCTCCGAGTCCTGATCGATTGACCCTGCATCTAGAACTAGGTTAATCCCGGTCTCGCGCTTATTACCTCTAAAATAATATAGATGCTCTATTCTCCGTAGATAGTATACTATTTCCAGTGTCGATATCCATCTAATCATGTTCAATTATACGTAAACTCTATATATATATAACCCACACCGCACTTCTCAACTAGTTCCCCATGCGCCAATCTCGTATCATCCACAATGAAATCCCCCCACAACAACTCAATCACAATCACCATTTCATATTATCCAACCAAATCCACCTAGTACCGAAAAGCAGACAAGTACGTAGTTAAACTCAATCGTCCTGAAAGCGCCTCGCCCTGAGCCCCGAATCCAACATTGTACAACGCATCGTCCGTGCGCGGAAGGCTGAACTCCTCTGCCAATCTGATTGACGAGCCCGCGTTGTAGGTCTGAGCGGCGCGCCTCAGGATTCATCTTCCGGGAGAGAGGGAGAGCGGGTTTGAGTTATTGGTTGATGGGGAGGAGAGTCTGCGCCGTGGTTTGCGTTGGGGTTTGATGTATATATATATCCTCTCCTTTTTTGTGGGATGGGAGGAGGGGGGCGGTTGGAGGATAGGGTTGGAGGGTATATATTTGGGTGGTTCCTCGTCTTCTTTTCTTGGTCGTTCTTCATCGGTGTTGTTGTCGCATATTATCTTATTATCGTCTGTCTGCTGTTGAATATTGATTCTTTGCATTGATCTGCTTTGAACTCGTCTTGGAAAGACCAAACCGAACCAAACAACCTTTGAGAACGAGTCACTGATTGCAAAGATGTTCTCCCTAGCCAACGTGGGCACGACTGTGAGTTCAACAAAGAACTATGGTTCCAATAATGGTCTAATATATAACTACCAGGTCGGAGGTGCAACTCAGGAGCGAGGCCCAGCCCACTCCATCCCCGCGATGCCTCCGCCGGTGATATGCCGCACCTGCAGGAAAGACCAAGACCCAAATGACCCGGTGATTTATCAGGTTATCATGGGCCAGGTGTGTCCCAGGTGCAAGGTGAAGGCTTGATGGATGGGACCTGCTTTCGTATATTCCGATGGACGGGGTGGGAACATTGACCTGCATTGAAGTTCGATTGATTTGGAGATTTTGATATGTTTGCTTTGAGCCGGGGGGGAGAGGAAATGATGATTTTGTATTTAACGATGTTTAACGTTCAAGTATGGGCAACAGAATGCAAGCTCAGTTTTGTTTCCTTCCTGCATCTAGTATCACTCCTGTGAGCTGGAAATATTGAACCACGGATGACCTGGCCTGTGGATTGGCGAGATCCTGCTGATCCCAGCTCCTGCATAGCCTCATCTGCAGGTTCCGGTTTCTGTCATCCAAAGGAGGGCGTCTCTCATCAAATCGAGAGCTTTCCACCCGCGTCACCTGAAGGAGTGTCCAACCTTTCAGATACTCCGTCCTGTCCAGAGGCTCCCGACCAGCAGAGCCCTTCTTCGAAAATTGGAAATCCTTGTAGATCGGCCCCGAGTCCGAAGAACCGCCGTACAACACAGCGTGCTGGACTTTACGATTTTTTCTGTCGTCTTTGCTGTTGGTGTTCGTGTAGCTCTTTTCAAAGACGCAGAAGATCGAGAAGTGCCCCGCAGCTGACGCTGCATCGGCAAGCATTTCTTCTTCTGAGATCTGGTGGAGAAAGATTCCTAGTCGCTCAAGTCGGTTGAACAGAAAGAGAAATTGCCGTGGGAATGTACACCCCCCGCCGGCTATGGAGGCGTTTGCCATTTGCTCGAGTCGGTCGACTGGGATGCCTTGGTAGCCGACGCAGCTGGCTACGCAGACGAGGATGCAGTTGTCGATCCGTTTGCTGGTGTTGATGCGGGATCTCTGGACGTGCTCGATGAGGATGGGCGCGATCTCGTCTCGCTCGTAGTGGAAGCTTGGTCCTGCGACTATTTGGGCGAGGGCAGCCAGCTCGCTGGTTGGAGGCAGTTAGTGCTTGGAAAGAGTAAATCGTAGTGGTGGAATGTGGGAATCACCTGTGTGCTGCCATGTTTTAGCCGTTTCACGTTTATAAGTGCCGGGAAATGCTGATATAGTTCTTGCTGGGACTTGACCTCAAGACAGTTACGTCAAAACGTTGACCAACATTTGGTATAGGGCATAAACTGACTGAGATACCCAACACTTTGTTTTCAGGTGAACCCACAAATCTAGATAGATGCAGGATCATATCAAGTTAGTTTTGAAGCAGCGCATTGACTTGAGAAACGATACTTGAGTAAACCAAGGTGGGATCTCCCCTCTCCTCGCAGCAAATACGAGCCTCGCCTTAAGCGCCAATACGTGGCACGCCAAAGCTCAACGACGCTCTCATTTTTCACCCAAAGTGAAGCCAAGAGATTTCTGAGTTGTTTTCGTCCACCACCTGGGATCTGAGCCCGGCTATCCACTCATGTTAATATTTTTTTCATCATCTCAAGCAATTATGCTGATGATAATCGGAGGCTTTCCCCCTGTGTATCCGTCGGGATATGATGGCTGAAAGCCCGAACAGTTGCTTATCCATGTTTTCAGTTGGATGCCTGGTGTTAAACTTTTGGAAGTATCCATCTGCTAGAAGAGTACTATACATTAGTCCTTACTAGCATTATGTGTATTCCCAATATTCGGCTGTTCTCATATCTAAATTTAATTGGGAGGCAGTATGAATCATACCTCACTCTAATTCCGCCAAGCCATGGAGATCATGATTACCATGATCGTCACAGGGAGCGAAATCCCGCAGGATGAAGTTGATAGAACTCCATATGTACATGTAGATACCCACAGGAGGCTTTTGGTTTGACAATCTATGTTTGTAAGCGTTTTTATTGATTTCTCTCTGTTTCATGTTTGTCCACGTAGTGGGGATAATACGAGGTACTTCAGGATGCGCCCCACACCGTACAGTGGCCGGCAAACATTTGACGGGCTTCTTAAATATCGTTTGAGATATGATATGTCCGAAAGCCCTTGCAGATCATAATGTATAGGATGCTAAGTATATCTTGGACCTGTTTCACGGAGTCCTCCGTATCATTCTGAGAAGCAAGAATCAAAGATCTTGAACAATAAGCTTCTTACCTCAGCAGCCTCGGCATCTCCGCGTTCCCCAACTGAACGAATGGATCCGACCTCTCACCGTCATCCCTTGATCCGGTCGCTCCTCTTCTCCCTCAATTCGCTGTTTAAACTCGATCCCTTGTTTGATGAGCCTCCAACCCCCAATCTCCCACCCACCCCCCTGTCTGATCTCCTCATGGATCGTCCGTGAAGACGGTGTGATCATGGCTCACGGTCGTTCTCCAACCGTCTCCGCAGCTGGCTCTTCCGGGAAAACACCACCGAATTTCTCTCCCACTTGAAAGTGATCGCTTAGGAACAAATGTCCCTGTAACTGGTTCAGTCCGGCTTCAGCGATCTCGCCCGCCTGTCGCCCGCCAGCATGGAGGACCGGCGTCCCGAGGTGCTGGTCGTCTCCATCGTCTTCTTCCTCATCGCCACCGTCTTCGTCGCCCTCCGCTTCGTCTCCCGGGTCTATATCGTCCGCCGCCTGAGCCTCCATGACTATGTCATGCTACTGGCCTGGGTAGGTTAGCCTTTTGTCGTGCGAGATACGGGAAGCTCATCGGATACAGGTCATCGACTTCGCGTTCTCGTTCTCCTTGTTCTATGCAACCAGCAAAGGCCTGGGCCTGCATGATACTGCGATTGACATCCAAGCCCGGTCGAGTCTCAACCGCGCCAATTATGTCTTCACCGTGCTTTATGTGAGCGCCCTGGACCGTGTTCGTCCGCAATTCTCTAATGCCCGCAGAACCCCGCCCTCATGGCGGTCAAGACTTCCATCCTCATCTTTTATCTCACCTTGACCCAAGGGGAGAAGGTCTTTCGCTGGGCCAACTACATCACGCTCTTTGTTGTCAATGTCGCCGGGCTCGCCCTCACGCTGGTTAATGTCTTCCAATGCAATCCGGTCGGGGCCGCCTTTGTCTATCCGCGCCAGGATGACGCGGTCTGCACCGATATCTTGACCTTGTATCTTTCGTCTTCGCCCGTCAATATCATTACCGACCTCGCGATCCTCTTTATCCCCAACCCCATCATCACCAAGATGCGTCTCCCTCGGAAACAGAAGATCATCCTGGTGATCACGTTCAGCTTCGGCTTTTTCGTGGCCGTCGTCGATGTGATTCGCATCGCTTACTTGCAGAACGCTGCCACGTCACGCCAGATCGCCATGAAAGACCTCCGCCTGCAATATAGCCAGGGCGATGACATCAACTGTAGGTAGACGACCCAATCGTTAGTGTTGCCGGTTTCTGACCCATCCAGGGTACGCGTCTCTGTCATTCATGTGGTCAGTCGTTGAGGTCAACGTGTCCGTGATGTGCGCCTGTGTACCGAGTCTCAAGCCGCTGGTCGCCCGCCTCGTCCCCAAATTGATCAAGGACTCGGATTCAAGCTCCGATGGCACCATCGACATGGCCCAGATGGCGGAGCTGGAGCTGCAGGAGACGGCCGAAACGCCCCTCTCCCCGACGCACCTATCTCCCATCGCGGAGTGCTCGCCAACAGAGACCAACCCCCGTAAACCATCCCGGTCGATGAGCCGTGGCAGTGTCAGCCTCCCAGCCCCCGGTGCCGTTCCGATGGACATGCGCGAGTTCTTGATGGCCCCCGAATCGGCTCCGCCGCAGGACCCGGAGTCCAACACCATATTTACCACCGCCTCGTATCAGCAGACCATCACCTTCTTCGACTTTGTCAACATGAAGACCCCCACGAGCATGCTCAAACTGAGCAATAAAGAGTCCATCGCGCCCATCGCCCTGACCACGATCTTGTTCTTTCTGTGGGGCTTCGCCTATGGTTTGTTGGACATCCTCAACTCACAGTTTCAAGACATCGTGCGGCTGGACACGTGGCGGTCCCTCGGCCTCCACGCCGTCTACTTCGGCGGCTACATGATCGGCCCACCGTTCATCGGCCGTCTGGTGCTGAAGCGGTGGGGGTTTAAAGCGACTTTCATCACCGGCCTGTGCATCTATGCCTGCGGGACCTTGATCTTTTGGCCGTCGGCGGTCCTGGCCTCGTATTCGGCTTTCATAGTGTCCAATTTCATCGTGGGCCTGGGGCTTGCCGTTTTGGAGACGGCCGCCAATCCGTTCATCGCGCTATGCGGGCCGCTGGAGAACTCAGAGATCCGATTGAACATCTCGCAAGGCATCCAGGCCATCGGGAGTGTCGTGTCGCCGCTGTTGGCCAAGGAGGTGCTGTTCCGCCAGGTGACCGACGTGTCGGCTCTCGTCGACGTGCAGTGGACATACCTGGGGATCGCTCTGTTCGATGTCCTCTTGGCCGTCGCCTTCTACTATATGCCAATCCCCGAAGCGTCCGACGAGGACCTGAAAGAACTGGCCAACCGTCGTCGAGAAGACAATATGGCCAAAGTCGCGGGCATTCCGGTGGTCTGGGTCACACTCGCCTTGGGTGTAAGCTCCCAATTCTTCTACGTGGCGGGACAGGAAGTCCTCTCGCAAGGCTTCGAGTCTTTTGTCACGAGCGCCCATCCTAAGTACGCTTTCTCCTCCCATCCTGACCTTTCACCGTTCGAATACTAATTCCTATCGCTAGATCCAAACTGGACACATTCCACTACTTAACAATCGGCCACGCATTATTTGCCGTAGGCCGATTCCTAGCCGCCTTCATGCAGTGGTTCCTGAAGCCACGCTGGATCCTCCTTCTATCCTACCTCGGCATGATCGTCTTCGCCGTGCTATGCATGAAAACAACCGGAGCAGCAGCAATAGCAATGGTCCTCCTAGTCTACACCTTCGAGAGCGGAGCATTCAGCATCATCTTCGCCATCTCACTGCGCGGCACAGGCCAGCACACCAAGACAGCCGCATCGCTCCTAACCATGGCAGTCGGCAGCGGCGCGCCCTTCCCATTCGCACAGCGCGCAGCCCAATTCGCGGGTGGGCCACCGTTCTCCTTCAGCGTGCTCGTCGCGCTGTTCAGCGCAGGCGCCATCTTCCCCCTGTACCTGAACCTCGTCCCCGCCGCCAAGAAGCAGGTCGACCCCGTCCCCGACGAACACCTCCGCCACCCCCGTCGCCTCAGCCGCGTCCGACCGAACGTTGTGCCGCGGGAGAAGGAAAACCCTGCCATGGGAGGCGTGTTCGCCCGTCGTCGCAGCGTGCTTACCGACCCGCTTCCGAACGTCGAACTCGCTCAGCAGGCCCCGGGGGAGTCCAATGTGCGGCGGGGGTCGGCGCCGGGCGGGATCATGCATGATTTGGCGCCGTGGCCTGAATAGTGTTATTTATCTATCGTTCTTTCGTTTGTCTGTTTCTGGCGTTCTGTACATGATACCCCTGACTTTGGTCAATGAGTTTTGGCTGTGCTGTTGATAGATTGTGGATTGGATGGAGTTGGCTGAATTGATTTTTGATGGATAGCGTTGCTGAAGTGTTGAGGTATGTAGATAGAGGATATACTAGTAGAATACTACTTAATTACACTGCCAATATTGAGTATGTAGATCGTAGTATGGGTATAACTAGCTGTCGATGTGTATAATGTTGCTTGTATCTCCAGTCTGTTTCTGTGACATGTAAACAAGGAAGCCTTCATGTAATTCGCAATCGCTAAAGTTGAGCTTAAAAAAGATTAAGCTCTGAGTGTAAACTGCCGATAATCTACCGTCATACTAGACCAGATGCGTGTCACTATGGATAAAGCCCTGAAATTTTGAGCACGGGATTTCTTATTTTAAGGTTTACGTGGGGACAGGTAGGAAGTAGAAACATAGTTACCTAGTTATGGTTATCTATATCATACGACACTCCTACTTGATAATACAGAATGGATCCCATTGATATAATATCTAAAGATAATATAATATATTATACCATACTATAATACTAAATAGTGGGCACTAGGTAGAGACCCAGATCGAATACAGATACACAGACATTACCGGGTCGTGGTACCACAAATCTACGATCCTCAGCATACATTATCTCGACCGTCGGGCGGGGAGTGGATGAGAGTGGGTGGCCCTGGTGGGTGGATAGTGGGGATGTGGTATTCTCTTGTACTGTGACGCGTGTAGACTACTCGGTATCTGGTTATAGTTACTAGCAGGAGGAGGAAATTCTCCGAGCCACGCTATATTTTCTTACTTCTTCGTACTCACTACTTACTACTGCCTAGTCACTGAACTAACTACTGTTTAGTGACTTCACTAGTAGCCCGCGTGGAGGGTTATATTCATGCCCGGGTTTATCCATTGGGTGCTTACCATATTCTCCCTTTACTATATGTAAGTTATTATACTACAATAGTAGATAAGGTGTAACCACTAGGTATGTATATATAGTAGAGTACAATATCCTTACCTACTTGTATCAAGAATGATATTCAAATCAGCAGCGTGTATTCCAAGGACTAACTACCTAGTCCACTGCTACCCCCTACCATCTACCAGGTAAAGGTCAAGGCAAGACTACTGCATTATGCAATACACCCGAGACTAAACCGATTAGCCTCTCATCTAACCTAATGTACAACCATCAACTTTGGAACCAACGCACATATACCAGCCATTCCTAATACTTGCCACTCAATCATCCATCTATGGATGTACCACCAAATCAGAACCATACTATCCTCCCTACTTACCTTTAACGGCACCAGATCCGAACCGATCGATCGATCCGAGCATCTGAACCCGATTGCCTCCACCCCTAACCAGGGCTCAGGACTCGGTTTGCCCTCGTGTATCGCTGTATTCGGACAATTCGGACAAACCAGTGGGGTGAGTACCGCTTACCTACGACTACAGTAGGTACAGGACGTCCCTATCCTGTGACTAGCATATCCTGTATAGTCAGTTACCCGATTACCATACTAAGAAATAATATAATATAACTTAATATAACCAGGATACGGACCCAACTCCCTGGTTGGAAAACCTCCGGGATGGATCGCCCGGCTGGTTTCCCCTGTTGGGCGTTGGTTGGTGTACATCTTCCGTCGCGCGCGAGTCACTCGGTGGTCCCCTCCCCCTGGGTTCCCGTCCCCTGTTTGGTTTGATTTAGACTTTGTTGGTTTGATACTTTCGTTTATTACAAATGAGCACAAATCAGGGATAATAAGATAGAATAAAATAAAATAAGGATAAAGTAAGGATGAGAAAATCAGTAGAAAAAAGAAAAAAAGGGGAAAATACCATTCTTTACCATTGGTATTGATTGTATTGCCGGGGTCTTCTCGGCAATTGATAGATTCATGATATTGGGTTTCGCTTTTCTAGACCCCGATCTTTTCTTTCATTTAGGTTTTTTTTTTTTTTTTTCTTCCTTTTTCTTTTCTCTTTTTCTCGCAGAGATCTGTTGATAAGGCAACTGCCATAAGTATAGTACTGTATGTTGTATGTGATCAATTCTATCATTTATTCCAAGATCGATGGCCCGTTCATGGTGAACTAAACAGTAAATGTCCAGAACTCCGTCTCCCTCGTGGGACAATATCCAGATATAGAGATCAAGCAAGATAGAATGACAAAGTAAACAAACGGACAAGATAGCAAACAAAGCCTCCGATAACCCCAAACAAGACCCAAATGGCAAAAACAGAGGGAAAGAGAAAAGAAAAAAAATAGAAGAAAGGTCAACCCCGTGAACTTCGAGGTCGCGATATCGAAGACGAATCCCGGAGCACGTCAGGCGCCCGCGGCCCAACCATCCAGTCTTCCATCGCCAACCAGTCACTCCAGCTCCGCTCCGCGGCTTCGATCTCCGAGTCGAGCGGCCCTTGTAATGGGCGCAAAAATGGAATCGTCTCGAGCGGGGGGATATCGTAGTCCTTCTTGACGGCCGCCCAGCCGCCGCTTTTGGCCGCGAAGAGATAATTGCGACGCTCCTGCTCGTGCAGGGGCCCGATGCCGGCGCTCCAGTCGTCTCCGAAGAACCCGTGCAGCACCCCCGGGAAGTCCATGCCCGTGGCCACGAGGCGGCGGATGTAGGGGATCAGCGAGACGGCGAGGGGGAGACTTGAGGGGTCGGCGGATGAGTTCAGCACGGGGTGGGGTTGGCGCTGGAATGGTAGTCGGATGTTGAGGAACGCGGAGAGCGCTTGCACGGAGGCGCTGTGCTGGGCGTGGTCGAGGAAGTACCGCTGGCAGATTTGGTAGCGCGGGTACCAGTCGAGGATGTCGAAGCTGTCGCCTGCGGCGCCTTGAGGGAGCCCTACCATTGCGGCTGGGTCGACGAACCGCTGGGTTGAGTCCATTGGGGGAGTCTGGGACCCGGACGAATCGCGTGGCCAGTCTGCAGAGCGTCTGGCCATCGTAGTGTTAGTGCATACGGGAGACAGTTGATGGGGCAGTATTGGATAGCCAATTGACCAACGTACTTGGAAAAGACACTCCTCCCTCGTCGGATCAAGAGAGAGACTCTGCGCCACGGAGACGAGTTCGGAGGCGAGGAGTCGACACCGGGGAAACCTAGTCCTCTACCAGGGTGAGATTTGTTCACGGACATCTGCTAGGTGAAGCCCATCTATTGATAGACAAGGACCCTTCATGACAAATGTAAAAAGACGAGATAGGAAGGGTAATTGCTTAGATAAATAGGACCCATTGGAGAAGAGATGGGGTACGTGAGACATACATGGACTTTATGGAAACAAGAGGGGGTGGAGGAGGGGAGGGGGAGAGAGTGGAAACTTGAAAGAATGGTTCGACTAAGAAGAGAAGTGAAAAGAAAAGAAAGAAAGAAAAGAAAAGAAAAGAGAGAGAGAGAGAGCTGATTGGGAAAGGAAGAAGAAGATTGGAACTGGAAGAGGGACGGGAGATATATTATTATATTATTTTATATTATTCTGTTTATATTATTATGATTATTGCATGTTATTATCGTGTTATTACCTGTCCTTAGAACCTTATTACACTATATAGATTACCATCATTCTCTTAATACTCATCTCTATTTTTTCTTGTTGATATTTACTCCGATCCAGTTCGCATATCAACTGTTTTTTGCAAGGAGCAGCGGAATTTTAGGTCGGGAGATGAAGATCAATTTCATTCATGACCAATAATCCGTCGGGCACCAGAGTCTCAGACTAGGATATGACAATAGTCTAAAAAAATACCCCGGCTTCATCTAGAGGTTTGGACAATAATCGATTGTCAATACAATCAAAGAAAGGGTCAAATGGAGAAAAAGAAAAGAACAAAAAATACAACCACAAAAGATTCATCAATGGTTGGAACGAAAACAAAATAAAAAAAGATTCGAGTAAAATAATGGAAATAAAATAGAAACAAAGACAAAAAAAGAAATAAAAAATAAGCACAAACTCCCATCAGATCTGAACCCAATCCGAGATCCAAGCGTTCTTCAGATCGATTGGGTGAATCCATGGTTAGTGGCGAAAAGTAAAGGGTCATCGCGTGTCCTTTTCCCTGGTCATGCAATTACTAATGCACCCTGGAATGGTTAATGGTGGATCCGGTATGTTGGTTCCTCTTGCATCGTCGTTTTAACATCATGTTATCCAGGTATCTTGTCTATCAGGCTCCGGAGGCAACAGCGCTGTATTTGCTTATTTGCTGATTGGATTCATGTGATTGTTATGATCCCGTATCCCTCAGAGTAGTGATATACGAGTAGTATTCTCCGATGTTACTCTGCCATTCTTGGATTTAAGCTGAGATCAAGCATGCAGCAGTAGTTGCAGACGGGCTTTGCTGCGGGATGCGTTCCCCTAGTCTCCCTTAGTGAGCAACCTAGCATTAGAAACCTGATTGGGATAGTCAATTGTAGAAACGCAATACAAAAACAGTATGGTTTTGAGAAGTAAAAAAAAAAAAAAAAAAGTAAAACCAAAATCGAAATACAAATCGAAAAGAGGTAAAAAAAAAAAAAGAAAAAGAGAGAAAAGGTTGCTGTGCGAGATTCAGGATCGCCCAATCCGATCCAGACCCAATCTCTGGTCCGTCCATAGTAACTATGTACTAGCCTCATTGGTCCCTGGTTCACTGGGTTAGTTGGTTAGTTGGTTTCAAATCCTCTCCCTGCCAGAATGAGGGTGTTGTCTGCCGTTTTACCACCCCGAGAAGTCGGTCACCATATGCATGCTGGCCTGAAGTGAGGTGGTGTACCCCGTAAGTAGGTGGCGCTTCCATAGTCTCCTCCCCAAGTCGTACATATGGCGGTCAGGGGGGGGGGAGGGGGGGAGGAGGATATCCCATTCAAAGGACTAGTATTCTCCATCCATCTCGCTTCCTTTTTGGTTCTTCCCCTTCATCTCGGGATTGGCCGGGATTTTTATGTACTGATCTTCGCTTTAAACTGGATATAGACGACGGAAGCAATCTCCCAGGAACAAACTTTAAAGGAAACTCTGTAGGGACGAGCCTACTACCAACGGGTAGGGCCATTATGGCCCAAACAGAGAGTGGAACATGCTTGTTTAGATCCAGCAGTCCACATCCAGTTGGACAATAAGCTTGTGTTCCCCGCTCCTGTCCCTGGGCCAGAAAGGCATGGTCTAAGATCAATTGCCCCCCAAATCTTCAATCCCGTCTTCGGCAGGAATTGAGAGTAGCACGAACTGGTAGGACAGACAGTGCCCTTCCCTTTGATTTCTTACCAACCTAGGTTAGGGTGAGTGTGTGACGTTGTAGACATTGCCGTGGATGTATGGTATTTTACACTAACGGAACGCGAGAGGTTTGCTTTCCCGGCGTCAAAGCTCCTCTTCTCGACCTCCTCGCGCCAGCGGTATAACAACCTGACTCGACTCGATGTCCACATCTGCATTGCCATGCCAGGGCCAGGGCCAGGGCGGGGTACATTCGCCACGTCGAATGTCCGGTGTTAGTCGGTCCACTTGCTGCATTATCGCGTCTTTTCCGCTGTACCAATCAGACTCAGTACACTTGCATGTCGACACCTTGCCTGTTGACAACGTTGACGAGAATCTGACATCGCAGCGGGCTGTGCTCCTGTCAATTCTCCAGTGGATATCACAAGAGCTTCCAAGAGACAATGAATGTATCGGTCGAGGTGAGTGAGGATGAGCGGTGAAGCGCGACAGAAACTCCCGCCACTCTTAGCCGCCCATCATGCATGCAAGACGTCCACATCCCCGCCCTGACACCTTGATGGAGTTGCAACTGCTGGCCAGTGGGCGTGTTTAGTTCCAGTTGGCTCCCATGTCTTGATGTCAATTCCATCTTTTCTCTGCCGTTCTCTTGCCCGAGAGCCACACACCGTTCTGTCCTCGCATGATACATCGGTGCAGCTGTTATGCTGCGCGCTGCAGTCCTAGTATGCGAGATCGCCGTTTACCGTCATTTCTAGGCAAGCAGGCCCGAGGGCATTTTATTAGCGAGATTATTACCAACGCCATGTGTCGGGATATGCCGGGCTTTGCACGTACTCGGATTGCTAGTTGGATGGGGAAAATAACACGAACGACTAAACATACAGGGTAAAGCTGAGTACTCAATATAGTGGAGATGCTAATATAGTGCGTGGACCTCCGGTCCGACTAATCAATTAGTAAAATGGCCTATCATGCAGATGTCCCATGCCGAACTCTATGCCATGCTGCGACTGTTCCAGGAATTCACATACACACGGTCAATCGCCTCGAGAAGCACGTTGTCCTTCCATCATTCATACTTTTGATTGGCAGCAGTCTTGTACATTGGCATGAGGCAAGGGGGGAATCAACACGTCTGTTAGTGATTCGCCACCTTGAGATTAATCTTTCCTTTGAAGCGGATCCAGGTTGATAGATCTGAAGTGCAAGATGGTGTGCACTCCACCTCAGGGATGTCCCGACAACAAGCAAGCTGGATTTGGGATATGCTCTGATCAAAGCTGAAGTCTCTGGGAGGTATACGAGGTCGTGTCGTATAGCATGGTTGATCCCATGCACATGCTACCTGATCCACAATGTCAACGCTGACACATAGTTACCAATAACTAACTAGTTATACTACTAAAACCTCATGTATCATGTCACCTCTCCTGGAACACTGCAGACCTCGTCATCTCCCGAACCGTCAACCATGCAAGATAATTTGCCACCGCGCACGATATCTAACCGTAACGATACCGATTTCGATGCTATTACCGCATCGGGAATCAACGCCACACCGATCTGCATCTCAGCCGCACCGTCACCCTCGCCACTGTGGCTTACGTGTATTAAAGCCACTATTGCAGCTGTACATCACTAGCCACAGATTGCTGTACCGTCCTTGCCGGTTGGGAGTCGGGATCGTGGCGATTTCTCTCAGCAGCCCTATCTAGGTTCGTTGATTGGGATAGGAAAATAGTTTGAGCATTACGGAGGTTTCCCGAATAGGAAGATCGTATCTTGCTTATGTCCCTTGCGAGTGGTCTTAGCGTTTCACTGTCTAATTCTGGTTCTGGTGAAGTTGTGAGGCAATTTGAAGAAGGTCTGGGGTTGTCGATTTTGTCTAGCACAGTGGCAAGCTTGTCTTTGTTGAGTCTGGACTGGGGACACGGTGCCGTCGACTGACTGGACGTGTCACCCGACCTGGACTCCGTTTTGGCCTGATCGTGACTAGCTATGTCTTGCGTGTTGTGTCTGGGTATCGAGCGTCTTGCTCCTTTCTGGATGTTTCCAGTTCTGTATCTCGAAAAAGGGACTTTCGGGTGCAGACATATCACTTATCTTTCGTAGCTCAGTGGTGGCCGCATTAGATCATTCGATACTACTCCGTAGTTGTGTATACCGTCACTTTTCTTTTTGAGACACAAATCTGTTGAGCACACACCCGTTGAACGCCAAAATGCAGACGAGAGAAGGGATATATCCACGATTCTGTTCTCTTGGACAGGTCCCACTGGTTTCAAAAAAAGAAAAGAAAGGTCATGTGTCCAGATCTTTATTTCTAGATATCAGCGGTGACGGTACTGAGAGTCTCCTTGATGACCCATCAACCCATAGTGTATATTTGTCTATGCCTGTCAGCTTCTAACTTATCCTGTTTGAGATCGACACTACGATAGCCATTTCTGGCAAGTTGAATCGAACATGACATCTACGTAACCCAAAGCACGGATGAGATTTCCGAGACTAAGGTCCGCCCCAGCAGAGATCATCAACCAGGGGCGACGAAGACATGGGATCAGTCTTCTGCAAGACAGCTAGTCGCTCAAGGGACTAGTAGATTGGCTCCTTCCGGCTCCAGTAGAATTACAAGTCTATCCTAGTTAGGTTAGGTAGACTAGTACTAGCATGGGCTAATTAAACAACTGCAGGTGCAGATATCACAAGTTACAGTCCTGATAATGCTAATCACTGCGGAAGATGGGTGGGAGATGCACTCGGCCGAAGCGTGGCCCTTGCATGACCACAAAGCAGGCGGGTTCGTCTTGCCGTGTCCTCTTTGTCGAATTTTCTCGTCGCAACATGCCGTCATAGAGTGCATGGCTTCCACCTATCTTGCCCGGGTTTTGCCTATCGATCGGCTTCCTCTTGGAAGTGTGGTATGCATACCGTCCAGGCCTGTATGGTTTTGGTTGATTGAATCTGGTTTCCCGTGGACCGATCTGGTCCACGGCGCTTTGATGCCCACTGCTTCGTCTACAGGGACAGACGAGTGCCAAATTGAGGCTTACCGTCAGGTTAAGTACTGATCGAATTCTTACCTATACCAAATCCTTCCGGTTTAGCGTGTGAGCAGCCCAACGCCTATCGAATTCTACTCCAATACGATAGGAAGAGCCGACATGACATCAAAGAGTCAAAAAGCAACGTCGCTATGAACGTCTAGCTGCCACATGTCATTTATCCCCGTGGTAACTTTTATGAGTCTCTAGCCTCAAATTTCGACGGACATGCGGATCGATAGGCCCCACTTTCATGGTTTGTGACCATACTGAAGATCAAAATCAAGAGGACTTTTACCCTTTTGTTCTACTGGAGATGTTTCTGTTCTCCGTGAGTCAGTCCCCTACCATGTATTAGCGGCCGCAAGCTTTGTACCATCTCAATGGTGGAACTGAGTCCCCACGATCTGATCATCAGCTTCGGAAATACGCGGTTATTAGTCCCGTTCTTATGGAGATAACACCCGTGATCAGCTTCGCAGGTTACTTTCTTCATTTCCCCTCTTCAACGAGTTCGACAGGCTGGTCATTGGTTCTGATGCCTAGTTTTTATCCTGGTTCCTATGTTTGGTTCTTATTCTGGTTCTTATGCCGGATTTCTGTAACCCGTGTTATTAAGTTGATAACCGGGGTTTTCCTTGCACGGACAAGGTCTGTTCAAATAAGGTACACAAGCATACAATGAAACTCCATCAGCGTGCTTACACAACTCTCATCTCCAGTAGCCGGGCAGCGATACTATAGACTGCAATAGCCATCCGTCTTACATTGAAGCCGAACCACAGACTTCAGATTCCATGGGACAACACGACTAGTACTAAACATGCGACTCCCACCAACCAGGTCACGATGCATTAGTGGAATGCTTGGCATGACTGACAGCTTTCAGTTATCGGCGATGTGGATTGCAGTGGGGACACAAGCGCCTAGAACCTTACCCCAACGCACCAAGCATCGCGCGTGCTTTGAAATCCCTGAGGATTAGAGTGTCAAGGCGGTGCTAGTGCCCGCGCAACGTGAGATCCGTATCCGCAGTTTTTTTCCAGAACGGAATGGTCAAGGAACGGGGTCCGTGAAGGGTCCGTCCCGCTCGTGACTGAAGCTTGGGTGGCATGACCCTTTGACCCTTGGAAAAAATCTATAGAGTAACGGTCCATGTATAGTCGTTAGGCCAGCTAACTTCTAGTTTATATCTCGTCGGTCAATTGTCGGTGGAATTGAATTCCGTCTGGGGATATCCCGACTTATCTACTAAGGGACGTTTTACTCCAGAATATGACAGATGGAAATCCTTCGGTGAATGTGATGATTGCTAAGTGCCGATAGACTCTATTAATTCCGATTCCGGGGTGAGAGGGGTATCAAGCAAGAGAAGAGCCGTGGAATTTGTGTTAGGTACAACGGTTGATTCATCACATACCACCTTATCACGCAGATCGTACCACATCAAACCTCTGGCGGCGCGTGGGGAGACCACCCCTCCATCCTCCGCGGGGGGGGTAAGTGCGAAGCTTCGATCGTCGCGATATTCGTCACTTTCTGTGCACTGCCCTCTCCGTCGCCACCAGTGACTACCGATAGAATGAAGAACCACATCATGCAACATGATGTTAACCCCGCGTTGAAAAGGCACGATGACCAAGACGCTCACCGGGGGGGTCCTCCACCGGCGGGGATAGGGGACGGAACTCCCCACTTAGACATCGCTTATTTCTTGTTTCCTTTTTTCGGAGAAATCCTTGTCGAGGGGGTGGAAGAAGAACCGGCCAATCACCAGTGGTTTACGTAGAGTTGACCTCAAAATGTACAAGGGTCTGACTATCTTTATTGGATTTTAGCATTATTTATTAGGTGACAAATTGGTTCTTATCGCGGTGGGTGGGGAACAGCGTCCCGATGATCCGTTCCCTTGGGTTGGGTGGTAGGACCAATTAACGGTCCCGATAGCCTGATAAGCTGCTGTGAAGTAAAACCATCTGATAAAAGTTTCGGATGGAGGGGCGGCGGGGAGCTCGGAGGGGAACTCCCATTGGTGGAGATTGTATCACGTGACGAGTGACCGGGTCTGGCTGTCATGATCGTCTTGGCGGGGTCAATCAGCGTTAAGTTTAATGGATTAGCCCGAGTCCACCTTGTGTATGAACATGTTTGGAGAGTGGACATTCTATTTTGAAACTATGGTTGGCAAAAAGGGAACGGAAAGAGAGGATTGTTGTGTTCCCCTTTGTGTAGAAAGAAAATAGAGAGAAAACTTGACGGACCAGATCTTCCGAACAGAGATTTTCGTGGCCAGTTCGCCACACGAGGATTTCCCGGGTGCGAGCCGAAAGCGGAGGGAGGGGCGGGTTTCCGCCGATAGATAAGCGGAGCAGAATCTGTGACTAGAACATATCAAATAATAAGAACCCTCCCGAAGTTCGGACGTGGCACCCGCCCTTCCTTGCCGGGTCTTCCGCCGACAATCTTAGGGTAACTTAACCTAACCTTACCATGATTCTTTTTCCTCCTCCCGCCAATCACACCCTCCATGATTGTCCACCTCATCTCGTCCGACTCCGGCTGCGATTTATCGCCGCTCTCCGCTCCCTCCATTGATCCGCTTTCTCTGCCTGAGTCCCCCACCCACCAACTCTCCCATTCCGAAATATAAAGATTCTTCCTCCGTCCGACTCTCCTCTCTCTCTCTTTCTTTCTCTTTCCTCTTCACTCCACCTGCAAACCATCCTCCATCCACTATATTAGTTCATACTCTGTCGTATCCGCGACAGTTTTATCGGGTGCTTCCTTGTCTTATACCTGACCCTCCCACACCTTTTTTTTTCTCTTGATTGAGGAGAAAAAAGACCCGACCGCAAACTCTTCAACTTATATCGCCGGTCCCAGCACCCAACCAACCACCATGTCCAACCTTCCTCACGAGCCCGAGTTCGAGCAGGCCTACAAGGGTATGTCTCGACTTTGCTCTCCCACAATATCCAATTGTTTCACATGCTGACCATTACCCAGAGCTTGCCTCGACCCTCGAGAACTCCACTCTCTTCCAGAAGAACCCCGAGTACCGCAAGGCTCTCGCCGTTGTCTCCGTCCCCGAGCGTGTGATCCAGTTCCGCGTCGTCTGGGAGGATGACAAGGGACACGTCCAGGTCAACCGCGGTTACCGTGTCCAGTTCAACTCCGCCCTGGGCCCCTACAAGGGTGGTCTCCGTTTCCACCCCACCGTCAACCTGTCCATCCTGAAGTTCCTCGGTTTCGAGCAGATCTTCAAGAATGCCCTGACCGGCCTGAACATGGGCGGTGGCAAGGGTGGCTCCGACTTCGACCCCAAGGGCAAGTCCGACAGCGAGATCCGTCGCTTCTGTGTCTCCTTCATGACCGAGCTGTCCCGCCACATCGGTGCCGACACCGACGTTCCCGCTGGTGACATCGGTGTCACCGGTCGCGAGGTCGGCTTCCTGTTCGGCCAGTACCGCAAGATGCGCAACTCCTGGGAGGGTGTCCTCACCGGCAAGGGTGGCACCTGGGGTGGCAGTCTGATCCGCCCCGAGGCCACCGGCTACGGTGTCGTCTACTACGTCGACCACATGATCAAGCACGTCTCCGGCGGCCAGCAGTCTTTCCTCGGCAAGCGCGTTGCCGTCTCCGGCTCCGGTAACGTCGCTCAGTACGCCGCCCTCAAGGTCATCGAGCTGGGCGGTACCGTCGTCTCGCTGTCCGACAGCCAGGGCTCCCTGATCACCATCGGCGACACCGGCTTCACCCCCGCCGAGATCAACACCATCGCCGACCTCAAGGTTGAGCGCAAGCAGCTCTCCTCCATCGTCAGCTCCCCCGAGTTCGTCAACAAGTTCCGCTACATCCCCAACGCCCGCCCCTGGACCCACGTCGGCAAGGTCGACGTCGCCCTGCCCTCTGCCACCCAGAACGAGGTCTCCGGCGAGGAGGCCCAGGTCCTCATCGACAACGGCTGCAAGTTCATCGCCGAGGGCTCCAACATGGGCTGCACCCAGGAGGCCATCGACGTCTTCGAGGCTCACCGCGAGGCCAACCCCGGCACCGCTGCCATCTGGTACGCCCCCGGCAAGGCCGCCAACGCCGGTGGTGTCGCCGTCTCCGGTCTGGAGATGGCCCAGAACTCGGCCCGCATCAACTGGTCCGCCCAGGAGGTCGACTCGCGCCTGAAGGGCATCATGGATTCGTGCTTCAAGAACGGTCTCGACACCGCCCGCGAGTACGCCACCCCCAAGGAGGGCATCCTGCCGTCCCTGGTCACCGGTAGCAACATCGCTGGTTTCACCAAGGTCGCTGCGGCCATGAAGGACCACGGTGACTGGTGGTAAATCCCTTCGTCCCTTTTAATATGATATGATACCATGGGATGTCGCGGGGTTTTTGGTTTACGATTACGATTTTTCTTTTTTTATGACGTTATTTCCCAAGCGCGGTTGTGCAACGATAGAGGCGCCGGATGTTTTATTTTGTTACTCCTGACGGATTTCGGCCTGTGGCCTTGAACATAGCTAGCAAAAATATATTATTCATAATAACTTCTTCCACTTCATCAGTAAATTTGTACACATGTGAAAGTCGACCCGTGCCGTTAAGAACAGAAATGGAATACATCATAGCAATCCATGGTAGTTCGGCTGTTTCCCCAAACCCAATTCATATTTGACACCTGAGGCAATAATTGATTACGTAATATCACGTGAACGCATCTTAGCGTCCCAAACAACCATAACGGGCGAACTGTGCATCTTCCAGCTCCAACTCATACATCATCCAGGCAATATGCCTGATCGTGGGGGCCTAAATCCGCAGCCGAAGTCACTCGTCACGTAGCGCCCGTATATATATGCTATGACCCGTTGTTGTCCACCGGGAACCAAAGATCAAGAGCGCACATCGGCGGAACATGGCTTCCTCCGAACAATGGGGGACATTCCTCCGCCAGTGTCTGGACCACCGCATCGACGCGGCGGAGTTCAAGACGCTCTCGCGGCTGTTATTCCAGCGCTGCCCGATAGCGGAGGACGTGCTTCTCGATGTTTTGCTTGAGACGTGGCTCGCGACGGGGATTAAGTGGGATCCTCTCTTGCCGCTGTATATTGACTGTCTGCGGCGCATGGGCAGGCTTCAGATCCCCACTGTGTTGCATTCGCTGCTGAAGCACTCGTCTATTCATGAGAAGTTGGGGAAGGAGGTGCAGTCGTCGTCGCCCGGTGGGGCGATGAAGAAGGAGAAGAAGCAGGGCCTGCAGCAGTGCTACACGTTTATGACCGATGGTCGCGTCATGCAGGACGTTATGCTTTCCATGTCGGCGGGGAATATCCCTGCGACGATGGCTGAGGCGATTGGGATCTTTTCCGCTACGGTGGATTGGATCCAGGCCGTTGTGGCGTGGCATAATAGCCATATGGATGCTGGGCAGCAGACGGGCGGGCTGATGAGCTCGCCTGATGCGGCGTCTGTGTTTGAGACGCTGGGAATTATTCTTACGGCTTTGTCGGGGAATGTGAAGGGCTTGGAGGTTCTTTCTGGGGATTCTCATGCAGGTGGGTGGTTTTTTTCCTTTCTTTCTGCTTGCCTTCTGCTTTCTTTCTTATCACTGGTTTACGACGGACAATGCTGACGGTTGTAGCGCTGAAAATCAAGCTGGGTCAAGCCCTGTCGGCGTATCTTCCTCTCTGTGCAGAGGTATCGCTTGGTCTTCGCGATCGATTGGCTAGCTTGCAAAAGGCGTTTAATCTCTACGGAGAACCAAACTCGAAGGGCTTGGATATGTCCATGATGGACAGCGTCAATGTTAATGCGCTGCAGTTTGAGGCTTCCGTAATGGATGGACCTGTGGTGAATTCCAGGGCTGGTCTCTACATCTATATAAACGCCATGGTATATCCCTCTCTGTTCGAACTAGCTTTGACCGTGCTGACCTTTTAGCTGGTGGCTCGTCCTTTGGTGGACGACAACGTCCTGCTCAGCTATCTCGCCAACCGATATGCTGTAAGTATCTCGTACCTTTGCCCAAGAGAGATACTGACATCACAGGGTCACTACGATGCCTTGATCGAGGAGATAATCACTGCTTCGTTCGATGTCCTATCTAATGCGATGTATCGCAATGAGTCGCACCGGACGATGTTTGTGTTCCGGTCGTGGCTAGTCAACAAGCTCCCGTCTTTCTTCGCGGCCATGTCGGCAACGTCCTTGGTGCCATCCAACATGAGCCCGTATATAAACAATGCTCTCAGTCGCCTCAACCCGAAGATCTACCCGTCGTTCTCGCAGATGTTCTCCATGCAAGGAAACGCTGTGCTGTCCGACGTGCGACAGGAGTTTGTATTCGCTTGTGCCTCGCATAGATTGGTTCCCGAGCATGACATCGAGCGCCTGCTGGGAGAGCCCCCTATGCAAGCTCCCCGGGTTGGATATATCAAAGACGATCTTGTCACGCAGATCAACAGCCACCATGAGCGCGCGGAACAGCTGATCGGGGAGATTGAATCCACCGAGGGCAACGCTGGTGCTATTGTCGGGGCCATTACAGAGGTTAGTCTCCACACTCTTGGGAGTAAGCAGCAGCTGACAAGTCTAGGTCATGCACAATCTTTGCAGTCAGAAAGAAACAATGACGCTGAAGAACATCTGTAATTCGTTGTCCCGTCGGCCCCAGGCCCTGGACGTGATTCTTCTCTTCCGAAGTCCGAAGCAGATGCTGCAACCCCTGTGCGAGTTGCTGGATTCGTGGCATTGGGACGAAGACCAGGGAGAAAGTCAGCCGGTCTACGACGAGTTTGGCAGCATTCTGCTGCTGGTGTTGACGTTCAACTACCGATACAATCTGCATCCGCATGACCTTGGCATTGTGGGCAGCGACTCGTTCGTCTTGCGGCTGCTGGAACGCGGGTCTTGCAGCCAGAAGCTCGAGGACCTCAGCGACAAGCAAAACAAGAACCTCGGCGCGTGGATTGGCGCTTTATTCATCGCAGAGGGCATCAGCGAGGAGACTATGTCAGCATGCAGCCCGCAGGAGTTCTATCTCCTGGTCTCTACGTTATTCGACCAGAGTCTGACGGCCTGCGAAGCGGGCAAGGTGGAATTTGACACCCTCAAAGGCGGATTTGAATGTAAATTCTCCAGCCCATGCCCGTGTCATCAAAGCTGACAGCCACAGATCTCCTGGAGCCTTTCCTCCTCCCCTCCCTCGTAGTCGCCCTGACCTGGTTAGGCAATCACATCTGGGAAACTGAAAGCGAACCCACCATCCCCATCAAAGCCCTACAGTCCCTGGTCAACCCCAGCTCCATATCCGGCGAGGCACGGGAAATCCACCGAACAGTGCTTAACATCACGGCGCGCTCCCTGGAAAGCCAACTCAAGGACGTCCGCGCGCGGCACCCCTCCCGCGCAGACATCAAACCCATCCTGGACGCCCTCGAGCCATGCCTCTCCTTCCAACGAACAGGAACCAGCCACCGCTCCGAGCTAGAAACCTGGACCACGCACCCCGGCGGCGGCCTCCTCGACAGCATCCGCAACACCTTCCAATCACTCGTTTTCTGGGGCTCCAGCCCAGACGTCACCATGGAGCCACCATCCTACACCCACCGCCAGCTCCTCTCCGGCATCCGCATCCTCGGCGCCCCGCGCGTCCTGCACGCCCTCCTCGACGAGATCAAGCTCCAAACAGAGACCGGCAACGGCGATATCGCGCTCGAAATCGGCGCCGTCATCGTATGCGCCCCGCTCCCGGAATCCTTCGCCGTCGAACAAAACAGCTTCCACCCCGTCGACACGTCCAAGGAACCCGCCCCCCGCTGCCCGATCCTCACCCTCCGCGACGTCCTCTTCCTCGCTCACGACTCCGTCCCCAAACTGTCAGAGAAGGAGCCGCTGCGCGCAGAAGTCCTCGTCCGTCTCTTCCGCCGCGTCAACACCCTCATGGCCCCGTCTCAGACCCCCAACCTCGACGTCACGAACATCATCCACAACATGTCTCTCCCCGTCGGCGACCACGCCCGCATGGACCTCGACCTTCCGGGTGATGGTCCCGATCCCGGCGACAATGAAGATAGCGACCATCTGAACCGGATGCTGGATAATGCGGCTGCTGCGGCGGCGGCGGGTCTCGATAGCGGTGTTGGGCAGGGGATGGGGAGTCAGCTGGATACGAGTATCGATGATATGTTGAATGCGGCTGTGGGAGAGGCGGATATGACGGTTGGGAATCCCGAGTTTTATGATTTGGATAGTATGGAGGGGATGTTCTAGTTTATTTTCAACTCTCTTCTGTTGTCGCATCTTCTTTCTACCATTTCTCATTTTATCTATCGTCTTTTGCATTACGGTCTAATATATTTCTCTGCCAAATATGAAGGCATAGTCAAACAAAGTCATTTTTTCTTCAAAAGTATAACCAACCTGCCAACCCAACCCAAAGCACCAAATGATCATAATGATAATAATTAGAACAACGAGCATAAACCCAATTTCAAAATATTGAATCAAGCAACCAACCAACCAGCCAAACAAGCCATTGAAGTCAAGCCACCGGTAGAGACACCTCGAATTCCAATCAAACAAACATATATCAAACCAACACTATACCATACACCATCAACCCAGTGAACACCACAAACACACAATAGTCGTAACACAGTATAATATGAAACAGCATATAATATCAAACTACGGATCCATGAGCGGATCCAACTTCTTCAGGAACTTATCAATCCCCGACCCGGGCATTATCGTGTTGATGATTGCTACCGGCGTGATGGGGTTGAGGCGTTTGTCGTGCTGGCTCTGCTGTTGGTTCTGCAGTTGGTCCTGCAGTTGGTCCTGCAGTTGGTCCTGCAGTTGGTCCTGCTGCTGGTTCTGCTGTAGGTCCTGCTGTAGGTCCTGCTGCTCCGGGACTGGAGGAAGGGTGGGAGCAGGAGCAGAAGTAGGGATGGCGATGGGGGTGGCGGTGGTTATGGTTATAGTGGAGAGGGCGAGGAGGGCGGCCAGGGCGGCTGTTTTTGTTGTCGTCGTTTGGAGGTGCATGGTTGGTTTTCTTTTCTTTTTCTGTTTGTGGAAAGAAGAAAAGGGAAAAGGTGGGTTTGATTTGTGGGTTTGTTGAGTTGGGTTTGATTTTTGTTGGTTCTATAGATTATATAGGTAGGGTTGTGGTGGGAGGAAGTAGATGAGGTGCGCGAACGCGTTATTCACACGTATACATATATAAGGACTGAAGAATAGTTTGAAGAGGCTACCCAGACTCTTTATCTTCATTTGCATAGAGAATAGAAACCTATGACTGCCCTGCGCTGGTGTACGGGATGGAATGAGAATGGAACGTGGAATGTACGCTGACGCGACTGGTGTTTACCTCCCTTGTCCAAATCAACAGCCTCCTTTCAACCCGAGTCAAGTACTTTAACACCATAGTATTATCTCCTTTCGAAAACGTTGAAACAGAGCTCATATTCCAATCCCAACGAGCCCAATCCATGAAACCTACAGCCAGCCCCTCTATGTGCCTATCCGGTTCAGGCTGACGGTTTATGCCAGGGCAGACAGGGTTGGTTGATTGTACCGGTGTCTCACTCTCTGTTTGCTGCTGCCGAAATGTCGGTATGGAATGAAGTCCAACCTGCCAGGGGTAGTTCTTGAGTCGGTGAATGATATGGGGTTGTTGATTGATGAATTGTTGATTGTGGAGTGGAGTGTGGTAGGGGTGTATATGCCTCAAGACGCGTGAATGGATCTTTTGAGGGTTTTTTTTATTGGCTCTGTATGCTGTCGCTGATGAATGACTGTATAGATATCACGTATATGCCAGTGCCAAGTATCCAGACATCAATATTCCCTCTGTAACTACGTAACTCTACAGCGAACATTGCAGATCAGCTGCTGTATCAATACTATCTTCTCTTCTATAATCACTGCCCAGTCTTCAACTCAGCGATCTATCAAGATCTATCTACAACCCAATAATCTATTTACAGAACAGATAGATACTAACCAAAACCAACACAGCCCTAACCACCAACCCAGTCTAGCGCGTGATGGACCTGCAGCGGACAAACGCACCCTCAATCACACACAACACGCACGTGAAAGGGGGCCCCTGCCAGCCCATCAGCCATCTGTCAACACAAACCTGCATCCTGCGACTCTTATTGGTCTTGAGATTAAGAAATTCAACGAATATCTTCAGCTTGTCCGCACGAGGTGGATCTGCAACTTTTCTTTTTCGTTTGTGCATGGCAGGTTGGGCTCCTGGTTGGTTGGCGTATCCTTGTATTTTACATTGTTTCCCTGTCGTAGGTAGCCCCGTAGGCCTACTTTTTTTTGGATCTTTTCTTTTCTTCCTGCATTGAAGCTTCCCCCCCCAATCAGTGCAAGGCTTTACAAAAGTACCTACCTGCTTTCCGACCGGGTGAGGAGCGGTCTGCAGGTGACAGTCCTGCTTGCAATGCGCTGCGTGACGGATGGCTGATTTTGGCAGGTTATTCCCGACCGGCTTCCTATTCTGTAGACTTTTCTCTCTTTGCATCTTCGTCATCATCGTGATCCTCATCGTGATCTATCACAGCTAAACGATTGATTCTTATCAGCCTAGGAAATATCTGCACAATGACAGATCGGAAGGATTCCTTCGCAGGACTAGCCAGTCGCCACCTGATGTATGTATGGATGTATGTAGGTACTAGGTATATGTACGTGGATTATTCCGTAGTCTGTATGCGAAAGTTAATTATCGGCTTGCTGCATTGTTAGACCGACTGAGATTGGGTTGCTTCCGCTGCGAGGCTGACCGATCCGCTCGCTCAGTTTGCCGCCCGTGGATCTAGTCGTGCGACTGAACGTGGACCTGGCGGTCTGTTGTGCGTCGCGGAAGATTTTTCCTCGTCCTTGTGGACGGACAGTCTGAGCTCGGTCCTCTTGTTTGGAGGAGGGGTAAGGTGCACTGGGTTCAGGGAGACTCGCTTGTTTGGGTGGTGGCGGAGGATATTGGATAGTTTGCCGGTTGTTGATTTCTGGACTTCTTCCCGTGTCGCGTAGAAATGTATGTTATTGGTCGTTCATGAATAACCCTGGTTGGATTACCCCCCGGCTCAGCCACTTAATACGGAGACACATGTCCATAGATAATGAATGTCGGCAACTGGATATGTGCCGAGACAGCCAGGGGACTCCCTGTCAGTGTCCAGTCCTGAAGGAATCCGGGGTATTTCGGCCTCCCAGTTGTGACAGTGTGACAATGCGACCGGGGTAAAGCGTGGTCCCAGCATGGACAGTGCGTCGGACCTCGGTGATCACCTTCGGTGAACGTCTCGGGGACTTCATCTTGCAAGTGTGGTGATAGTGATAGTGATAGAGAGCAACCTCAATGCGACCGTACTGGACCGTACGGGACTACCCCAATCCTTAGCGACAATTCTCCCCCCCCGCGGCATTTGCGAGAGCCAAAGACAGGCGGCGCTGATCCCGTCGGTACAATCGCCTATCAAGGTAATGTGCCTCGAAGACTCAGAAACCCGTGCCACCAACAAAACAATCCCATTCTTACCGTGGGTGGAGTGGGCTGGTTGGATAGTGCCGTATGTATGTACCCTTGATATAGTTGGTGATCTTGTAGCGACTGGTCCAATCATGGCACGGGGTGGAGGCACTTGCACAATTATTATCTCATATTCTGCTCTGACGATCGCTGCTGCTGACGACAGAAACAAGTCGGTCGGGTTTAACTGGACTGATAGGCGGCGTGGCTGTCGCACGGATAACATTCTGCACCGATGTCTTTTTCTCGGTCTGGTCAAGCTCGTCGCTCATAGGGTCTTCCCCACTGGAGAGGTCACCACGAGGGGTTTGAGAGACAGTGACCCCAAGTGGGGTGGGGGAGAGAGGAGCAGTTGGCGCTTGTTGATTAGGAAATTCGACTGGATGATGATATCTCGCTAACCCTGTAGCGGCCACGGGCTGATGCTTATTGGCTCACGCGTGGTGGCCCTGTCTTCCAATGATGGGAATGGATTCTCATGCTCAATTACGTCCGAGCATTTGTCTATCATTACTCCGTACATACTCCGTACGGTGCATTGAAAACTCTGAGCACATGTTCTGCGTTGGTGGTCAATGCTGGTACTAATAGGGTGTGGAAACAGAAAGAGGACCCCGGGCGCGTTGGTCTATTTTCTGCGGTACCTGCATAGTTGAATCGTGGCTATGTCCGTGGTGCTGAGCAAACTAGCCGTGGCGACTACGAAATCAGCCTCGTAAGGTGGTAGACCTCGTCAGGGGGAGACACCTTCCCGACAGTCTGGATGGGGCCAAGGCGGAAATCCAGCAAGTATTTACCGCGGACTAGAAATGGCCCCGACCCTATGAATCAGCGCGACGCGTTGGAGCGGGCTGTCACGGTATCGGATAACTAAAGTCAGACACAACATGCCATGGATCGGCCGAGGAGTGGGTGGTTCACGAATGATGACTGCCTATCTCATACCAGACCGGTGGGTTCGTGGGGCGGTGGAGAGTATACTGTAGATGAAACAACCTCTGGTCGTGCTATTGCGCCATAAAAGGTCAATGGATACTGGATAGATGGATAGAGCCAGCGTGAGTCACTCCGTGACTGAGAGTGCATTTCGTGGATGCGTTCCTCGCGTGGAGAACCATCCACCGCAAGTGATAGTGTGAAAAATTGAAAACCAGAGGAAAAATGGACCCGAGTAAGATGGCACACGTGACCAGACCAAAAGATGATGAGAGCATTTGGGTCAATTGACTTTTGACTCGTGGAGAAAGCTCTTTTCATCCCTGGAGCGCAGGATTCCCAATCCAGGCCAAGGAAATCCTGCGAGATATCACCTCGCTAGCAGATATCGTTCCGTCCTTCGTAACCGTCCGGCGGCTTTGCCCCGGACGCGACCGCAGTGGTGGCTACCTACTATTATGATAGCGCGACTCGTTAACAGACCTCAACAGAGAGCTTTGGACGTGCCAGAAGAAATCGTGGCATGGTGCTCCGACAAATCGTGAAACGTAATCAACGGGTGGTCTACTGGTATCAGCATAGGACTGACCATGGACAGTCGGACACCGTCTCGGTCCAGTTCGTCCCGTCCCGCATTGCGTCGACTCCGGAGTACGCTTGCTCCAGACTCGAGCAGGAGTGGAGCCAGTCGTGAACTTGTTGGAACAGGGGAAATACTGTTCCGTGGATCGCCCGTCCCAAAGAACGATAGCTAAGCTTGGTGGAGGCGTGTCTCCGAGGTTACCCCCTTTCTTCTTTGGCTCGGACTGGGGTAGTTGTCTGTCGCCCCCTCATCTTCTATCTTTTTTTTTGAATGCTCCGTGTTCTCTATGTGGGTTGTACTGATGGTCAGGATGATATATCACCTTTCACCAGAAAAAAGAAATAGAGAGGCTACTTTCATCACTAATTAGATTTAGTACGGAGTAGTCCAACCTCCCTGGTCAACCACAGCATGACAAAAGCACGACAGTTACGCCCGCATACAGCAACGAACACGTGCCCCGAGCTAAGACCGTAATGGTCGAATCATTCGAGCCCGTGTTGGGCGAATTTCTTTGTTCGCGTGTTAGTTTCCAACTAGTGGGTTGCCGGGGGTGGTTCCTAGAGGGTCCTAGAGGGTCCTAGAGGCCCCAACCGACGGACGGTCTGGACTTGCCGACAATTCCGGCAACAACGCCGAACGGTCCTCACGTTCACTGTAGGGAACTGCCTGGGACTAGGAAGTACAGAGCGCGACAGGATGGTTGCACGGTGCGACCGTCACGATCGGTGCTTCCACGGTAGTATGTACGACCGACTTGCGACAGGACGGCGAATTGCGCGACCGATACTATTGTATTTGCTGGAGGTCGCCGGGAAGCTTCGAGGGCCAAGTTTCACCTTGCAAGCCGTCCTGTGATCTGTCAACTGGGCTTTCCCCTTGTCCCGTTCGCTCGCAGTTGGCGTCAGCCTAGGCACCACGGACCAAATTGCCCAGCCAGCCATCGAGATCTACCTGCCTGTCTGTTCTCCCCTAATCAGAGCGTTGGCTCGGCGACTGGGCTAGCTTTCGCTGTGGCATTTGATGTCACTGGATCTGACATCCGTAGACAAGGTCCTTTGTAGATTATAGACGGAGCTGCGGGTGGACGAAAAGGGAGGGCG